ATGAGCAAGCAGAAACTGTAAAATGACAGGTGGTGTTGTCAACTGTGGACACTAAAAGTCTGGCTGATGTTGAGATTTCTTGGAGAGGAATTCCAAAGCGAATAAACTGTCTTGGTGTTTTGCAGTCATCTTACAGGCCACAATATTAGGAACACGCACCAATGAGAACTAGTAGACCAACACACACACACACACACACACACGCACACACACACACACACACACACACACACACACACACACACACAGGTATATACACTATGTTGTTCATTAATGATGGCGGTTGTGTATTTCACCAGGATGAATGTTAAAATCTTCCAAAGGCACAGAGCTGGCGGTCTGGCCGATATGCTGCAGGACCTCCTCATCCAGTCCTGTGGGGGGGCAACTCATGGTCTTAGGTTCTCCTTCTGCTGTGAAGAATTCTAGAAGGAAGTCGGGGTAACATTCGTCATCATCGTCGCCAAGAGGTGTTGCGCAACCGACTCAGTGATACGCTGATGAAATATTTTTCTTTTTTGGCGATGAGAGGAAGAAACTTCGGTACTTGGCCAGGGTGAGTCCAGCCAGTGTCGTATTTGTGAGATTTTCTCATCCTTGGAGCTGCCGTACGCCTCCTCGCATATCTTGTCGTATTTGGCCACTTCCTCCTGCAAACATGACACAAGTTTGGGGGGGGGGGGGAACATTCATTAGGAGAAAATATTGCTTGCTCACAAGCACAACTACAGGAGCAGTGAATGAAAAATAAAGTCTTGAGTGGCAGTAAATAGCCTTCTGTATGATGAATGGACTATTAGCAAAGGTCCCCAGTGCAATGACACACAATGTCCACCAAGCACCAGCGATTTGTGAGCCTCGGTAGCACTGTAGCAGATATGAACACAATCTTCTGACAAATATTCCAACGCTCCTGCTTGAAATGAGGAACCAGAGTGCTTTCCAGTGAATGACACACTTGAACTGTCAGTGAATGGCACGGGAGACCGATGTGAAACTTGGGTGATTGAATCGCAACAGTAAATTAATTGAAAGCAGCAGAGACAATGCTGCCGCCATCTATTCGTCCGCATATTTAATTTGCGCTTTCAATCCTGCAAAGAGAAGAAGGCTGTTATGTCGCTGTTATTCTTCATGGACATGAACTTATTAGGATATGTCCCCTTCATCAATAAATTCATCAATCAAAGGCCACCCGCCTCTTGCAATTACTCACAACTGAAATCGTAATTATACAGAGAACTTTTGAACGATGGCATGATTCAAATCTAGTGGGAAATTTGTTTGAAAAACGCTTGCGCGCGCGCGCACACACACACACACACACACACACATACACAAAGGCACGCACACGAACTTCCACACACTAATACTTCATTCATCATACACAACACACACAAAACCTTCAATACATTAAAACATTACACACACACACCCACCCATAAATACACTCACATAAACAACACTTTCATGCCAACCTTAGACGCACAGACACGCAAATGCTCAAATGTGCACACACTTACACCAAAAAGGTACATACACATGCATACACAATAAACATGACACATATACAGACCTTAACCACCTGACAAAATACACACACACTCACACACACCTCATATTCCTGCAGCGTCACCACTCCGTCGCCAATGAGCTTGTCAGAGTACTTCTTCAGCACGTGCTCCTGACGCCGGATCTGCTTGTACATCAGCGGCTGGGTGAATAACGGCTCATCCATTTCATTGTGGCCAAAGCGCCTGTAACAGGCCTGTGATAAATACACACACACACACACACACACACAAATAAAATACATTTGAAATGACTCAAATGGCCTCGTCAATCTTCAAAAATAACAATGGGTGTGGCAGAAGCTTGACCTCAAAGTATCAAATCAATTTTCCCCTTTGAAATGGAACTGAAATACCATTAATGCGTTCCAAAAAAAACATTCCGTGTCTCAGAAACTTTCTTGCAACAAAAAATTTGGTTGGCACCCCCCCCCCCCAAAAAAAACCAAAAAAAACAAAACACCACTGTACTTCAAGGACGGACCAGGTCAATGACGACATCCTTGTTGAAGGCATTCCTCCACTCGGCGGCCACGCGGCACACGTACATGACGGCTTCGGGGTCGTCGGCGTTGACGTGGAAGATGGGAGCGTTGACCACTCGAGCCACGTCGGTGGGGTAAGGGGAGGAGCGGGCCATCCGGGGGTCGGTCGTGAAGCCGATCTGCGGGCGAGAAAGGCAACCGTGCTGGGGGGAACTGACATGAAATGAAAGCAGGGTTTGAGTTTGGTTTTTTTTTAATGTAGTTAGTTTTCATAAATTTTAATTTGGCTAGTTTTTTTTTTTTTTAATGCTTTGTTTTGTTTTTAATTGTTATTGTATTCCTATTAGGTTTTTTGTATGCGTGTGAATGTGTATTTCATGTGCGGAAGATTAAAAAAAAAACATTACAGTAAGTTGTATCGTAAAAACTACTCAAAGGTCTTAAATTAAGCGAGGATGGATTCGCTTTCCATGCCTTGTTTGCCAAGTTGCCAATTTTAGTGATTTTGTGGCTTGAATTCCTGTTGCAAAGTATGCCATACAATTATACAAGCCACTTGCCTACTTGCTTTTATCGTTAAAAACACTGAAGAATTGCCATTTCACCTGATTGTTGACCACCACATGGATGGTACCATGTGTGGTGTAAGAGGGGAGTTCGCTGAGGTGGAACGTTTCATATACGACACCTTGGCCGGCGAAAGCGGCGTCTCCGTGCATCAAGATGGACATCACTTGGAAAAACAACATTTCTTGTTTACGCCAATTTTGAGTACAAGTACGATAGCTCCATCTTAGGACAATGCTAACTTTTTTGCCAAACGCGTCTCCTCTGTAGAACTGCTCCGCTTTGGCCTTGCCCTGGACTACTGGATCCACCGCCTCCAAGTGGGAGGGGTTGGCCATGAGGGACAGAGTGATATTCTTGTCCGTCCCCCGATTTATTCTCTCGTGGTACATCCCGAGGTGGTATTTGACGTCTCCGGAACCCTGTGGGAGAATGAAAAGCAGGTTAACGTAAAGATATGTTGAGAGGGGCCATTACTTTGGTGGAGGTGTTCTCACTTCATCCGCAGCCTCTAATTTGGGGTCGAACTGACAGAAGATCTGGTTCAAGTCTTTGCGGATCACATTGGCCAAGACGTTAAGTCGACCCCTGGAAGCGCACGTTAAAAGATCGAGTGGAACCTGTACTTAGCGTGGTAGCTGTTGTTCATTCAACCAAACCACTTTAACTTAACTCTACTAGCCTAATGCTAACACACAGTGCAAAACAACTAAGACAAGCTAACGGAGTTTGGTAAGACACAGCTAAGAAAATACCCAGAGGTATATACTCTTTATCCTCGGTGAAGAATGAATTGAACGGCTTAATTTTTCTTTTTCACAATTAAAAATGTATGTCGTGCAGTATGACTGTAATGTACTACCCCCTGGTGGCCAAGGTTCACATACCACAATGAGCAACAGGATACCCATTGAATTATCATGACAAAACTGTTCACTTTTTTTTTTTTTTTTTAATTGTTAGTTTTCAGTAGTTTTTCGAGTTTTGACAAGGTGTACTAATGCGCATTACCGATGCGGCATCCCCATGATCACGCTGTCTATGCCGGCGGCGCTGGAGCTGTCAATGATGGTCTTAAGTGCCGGGATGAGGACTTCGCAACCTTCCAGTCCAAAGCGTTTCTCAGACGACCACTTCCTGGCCAGGAAGTCCTCAAACCTATCAAGTCAGAAACAGTACAGGCTGCTTTGAACTGGTCTGTGAATTTGAAAGTAGATTTCGAAAAGCAACATTGCTGCTATGGCACCAGATAGAAGGCCCAATGAGAACATTTGCAGTTAGTATAGAAATCCATATGCCTCGATTTTACCATGAAGGTTCATATTTTATTCATTGAAAAAAAAAAAAATGAATGTCTTGGAAACCGCCAGAAAATTCTGTGGAATATAGTTGTCTACTGCGAAACCATAATCCTACTGATTTGCAACCTCTCTTTCGGATATTCTGTTAGCATGGTCACTGTCGAGCACCTTGTTGTTGGCCATAAGTGCGCACACATCAAGCAAAGAGAGAATAGAAAGGAAGGCGGAATTTTATTTTTAAGATTTAAAGTTTGATTTGGCAGCCAGTAAGTGCTACACAAAGGTGTGCCTGCTTTAGAGCGCCTCGTTGTCGGCCATAAACGCACACATACAACAGGGGATAGGGGGGGCAGAAGAGAAGGTTGTGGAGTAGAACAACTCTACTCAGGAATAATTTATATACTGCAATTTTTTAATCATTCAAATTTGGCGGGTTGTTAGGAAGATTCTTCTATGGCAGGTTAAATTTAGAAGTCATTTACTTTCACTTTTTAGGTAAGATTTAAAGGTTGAGAGTGTTTGTGCTGTCGATGTTGTAATTGAGCTTATTTCACCAGACAAAAATGAGCTCCTATAAAAGACGAGCCACATGGTTCTCAGTATGATCTATGACTTGGTAATATGCTGTGCATTCCTTAATGGGTCTTAGATCCTTCTTTTCATTCCTGACCGCGTTGATCTGATCAGGCGAGCCAGCAGCGTTCTCTTCTCGGCATTGGTGAAGCGCATGATTCCGGGAGTCTCGAACTTCTGACGGATCCACTGGCACTGCTCCACGTTGTTGATGAACATGAATTCCACCCCCACGTGACCGCAGTAGGATGCCTGGGATGGGACAAAGGAGAAAATAATAATGCGGCACATCCTTTGCTAGGTGAAGTGCCTCATGTGAAGGTGTTTGTTTGTGTGTGTTAGAATGATTAAACTACTATTACATTTTATTACTATGTATTAAACTAAAGTGAGAGGCGGAGCATCATTTGATCAGGCCAAATACATGTCTGATCTACAAGTAGTGCTTTGGGGCCATTTTGCAGCATCTATCGACAATTATAAACCTTTATAGGGCGTGTACCTCAAGTCGACGTATGACCTCCCTGAGAGGAAGAGTCGTCTCTCCACCGCCGATGAAGGTGGTGTGAGGTAGACGGAAGCTGCGATCCAAGTCGGACTCGTGCAGACCGTAGAAACCTACGTACGGTAGTATGAACAAACATATCATTTCAATTCAGTGATTTGAAGAAAATATTCATGCCTACCTGCTTCATCAGAGCCATTTAGATGTGAATTTTTTAATAACTCGTTTGAAGCCCCATGCATCCATTTTCTATAGTGTTTCGTAATGCAACTGTGATTTATAATTTTTTTTTGTACGTTTTTCCTTTTTTTTAATATTTTTTCTGTATCGTATGTTCTACATTGGACACTCTCGCAAAAGTCGAGCAGACCACCTGAGCGCTGCTGGAGCTCAAAGCTCACTCGGCACATAAGAGGAGACAGGTGCAAATCACATTAACAACAAGGCAAAGAGGGAAAAAAAGGGGGCTAAGAATAGATCCACGTACTGACCAAGTAAAGGGCTCATTACGTATCATTAGCGAGCTATATCAGCCTTGTGACAATATAATGCAGAATGGCAGAATGTAATGCAATGCTGTGACACACGCACACGCACACAAACACACACACACACACACACACACACACACACACACACACACACACACACACACCTTCTTTGTGTTTTTCTTGCTTGTTGCTCCTTGTGGCGGTGCTCAAATTATCTTTCCCCATTAAAATAAATAGAAATGTCATTCATCGGTTCCAAGGTCCCAAAATAACGACAAGTACAATTTTGTAACGTGCTTTTTTTAAATGAGAAAATAATACTCTAAAGTATTATCTATATTTTACGGGTTTCAAACCTACACTGTTTGTTCTGCTTTACACACACACCGGGGTTTTGTTTCCCACGCTGGTCCGGACCTTTTATGCAAATGTGAATACACACAAACGAACCCCGATGTGAACCAAACAAAAGGATCGAGATCCGGTTGTTTGTGAGTGTTTGTGAGTTTGTTTGTTTGTGAGTGTATTCCGCTGCTCACCTAATTTATCAATGGTGGTGATGAGGTCAGACGGAACAAACGAGTCCAGATCCGCATCCAAGATGCCCAGAGGGTCCAACTGGGCCACGTGATGACCTCGAATCTAGAAAGAATACAGAGACATAATTTCATATGATACTTTGTCATCATACTGTTGAGTATGAACAGCTGGAGATGCCACTTAGTTGCTCTGCGGGAGCCCTGCGGGAGTTTTCTTCCGTGTCTTTCTGCCATGCGTTTTCACCTTGCAACAAGTATAACAGATAGTATTTGATTCATTAGTGGGCAAATTTAGGGGAAGGTTGAAAAAAAAATAATTAAAGAAAGCACGTGTTGCACAAAATGAACATTTTATTAGCTTCATTGTGCAAATGCTTCATTAATGTTTTAGTTTTTTATTTCAAGATTTTTTTTTTATTATCAAGCTTATTGGAGTATTTTATTCATATTGTGGCAGTAATAAAATACAACTTGGGCAATCATGCAATTAGCCTAACAATTTGTTCATGTTTTTGAAATGAGTTAAAATGATGCTGAGCTGTTTGAAAGTGTCACAATTTTTACAGATGTTTTAGCTTTCATTGAGACACCTGTTTAATTTTGTTTGCCGAAGATACGCAGTTACTCAGATACTAATTCTTCAAAAATAATGACATGTTTAGGAGGAAACACGTTGCCGTATATGAATGTGTGTGTGTGTGGATGACCTGGTAAGCTCTGATGAGCGTATGCACAGCCAGGTGGTCCTCCACCACTTTCTGTGTCACATTTGGCGAATGGGACGCGACTCGGCCCTGGAGAAGAGGGGAGGGACGTCTCTCCGCCTCCTCGTCAGGTGTGCCGGATTTCTCCATGTTCTGGAAGAAGGTGTCCCACGACTGGAGAGACAAATTCAGAGGAGGGGAAAAAACATGAGCAGGAAATATCGGTGAGTGAGAAAATGGACTTTATACTGGAATGGACGATATTCATATTCCGTGTTACCTTGACTTATTTGTGTAACAACTTTTTCAAGTTAGGAGCAGTTACGTGGTCCATTTTTATTTTTATTTTCTTTGCAAGCCAAAATTTGAGGTCTGATTATTTGATATACTATAGTGAATAAATTAAATGCACTTTTGTGTGTTTTGATTTGTTGCACACAGTTACCTCATGAACATTATTATGATCCTCCAGCCAGGCAAAGTACATGTCCTCCACATAGTTGGAGCTACTGGTGACCGCTTGAGAGGGTGTGGCCTCGGAGGAGCATGTTCTCCAAGGGTGAGGTCTGCACCTGGCAAGGGTCCCTCCACCGGCTCGCCACCACGGACTTCCTCCACCACCCCTCAGCACGCCCGCCAATGCCCGAAACTGACTCATAGCTGAGGGACAAAGAGAAAACAATTGACTGTTGACGTTTTTATATTCATTAAATGTGCGTTGTGGCATTTGGGGGGATTTGAGATCGACACAGCTTTTGAGTGAAAGATGAAGATTAGGCGGCAAATCTCAGGTTGTTATGTGAAATGGAAATTGGAAGTTGAACAAGCTAAGGGACCAAGAGACCCGACATTCGAATAAAATGGACATGGAATGGTATAAATTGAGTACGTGCAGACGCAGTGATGATGCTTCGCGTGAATGACGAACACCATGTAAAAAAGCCACACTCGAGCCATGCTTCATATCAGGATATAAATTATTTTGCCATCGAAAGCCCTTTCTCAGTCTTGTCCCTGTTGTGTTATAGTTTGAGATGACAGAAAAGCAAAACATATTTGCGTCTAAGTCATTGTTCTGCCTTTCATGTTTCTTTTCACCAAAAACTTGTTTTCGCCACTTCCTGGCCCGAAACAGGTGTTTATGGTGAAACCAACCGTGTTCTACTTCTGATTACTGAAGTGATTGAAGAAGCTACAGAAACATATATATATTTTTTTTTTTGGCCTGGTTAAAGAATATAAGTCTATACTTTTTGTACTTTTGTCAAGGTATTGAACCAGTTCATTTTTTAACCTAAGGATCAGTACTTAAATGTACTTTTGTCACCTCTTTTATGGAGTTGCGTGTTCCAAAAAGAACTGTTCGGGAAATGGCAATTATGTCAACCCAGTTCATCGTAGCCCCAAATAAACTTTCACCTCAATCTGCAGCTCTTTCCTTTTCACACAAAATCGCTGCGTAGTGAACGTCCTGGCGGTAGCAACTTTTACTGCAGGACCGTTTGATTGCGTTTGTTGTAAGAGCAGCTCGATCGTAAACATTAAAATAATGCGCGCTCCGAATTACGATGGAAGCTGCTGCAAGGAGTTACGAGTCATTTGCGCACCGTAAAAACCACAAAGTCAAACATGCGATCGCGATGCGCGTCCTCTCACCTGCTCTCGCCACGGTGCTTTTTAACTTTGCCTTTGTTATGATGCTCGTCTGTGCTATGTGACAGGGCCGCTAATCCTCTGCCTTCAATGTAAATCCCCCCATAATCTTCCTGATGGCCTGTGTGTGACGTCTATAGAATCTGAGTGCAAAGGACAGCATGTTAAAAAAAAAAAAAAGAAAATCACTCATGTGCGTTAACGTTTACCTTCGGCTGCTACAATAACATCGCCGCAGACTTCCAATGTGGGACAGTGGACACGGTGAAGGGGGACACAGATTCTGAAGTACTTGCACCACCTATGCCCCGACCAACCCTCCCCCATCCCCTGCCAGCGGGTCAGGTGGTACATCTGTACAACTGGACCACCACACGCACGAAAGCACGGAAGTAAACTTAGTGAGACAAAGAAAAAAAAAAACACTGGGTCATTGCTTATCTGGCAACAGCTGGCAAAACAATATTCTCAGAGGACACAACATGAGGTAAATCTTCATCTAACTGGAATGCAATTTGAAATTTGATCATCAAGGCTCGGCTTTGAATAAGACTGCAAGAAAGGTATTCATGTCAAAAGTAGCGGTGTGAAATTGGACCGGCAAATCGGTGCTGTTGTTAACCCTGGATTCTTTCATCTTCGGCAGCTTGCTAAAGTAAAGGCTTTCCTTTCTCAAGAGCATTTTGAAACAGTAATTCATGCTTTCGTCACATCTCGGGTATCTTAATGGAATGCACTTGACTTTGGTGTCAGCCAATCCTCCATTAAGCGTCTCCAGTGGGTCCAGAATGCTGCTGCTCGCCTCTTGACTGGTACACTCGTAAGAGGGAGTACATAACTCCTTCCCTGGCATCCCTTCACTGGCTCCCTATACATTTTAGGGTTCTGTTTAAAAAATCCAATTATTAGTTTTCAAATCTTTAAATTGCCCCGCCCCACCTTATCTTTCTGAGCTCCTGCCCGGTGCCTCCGGTCTGTACCTGGGAACAGAGGTTTATGTTATGTGTTCTGTTATTGTCATTCTTGGTATTTATTATTTTAAGTGTGATGCTATTCTTATTTAATTATAACCATGCAGTAAAACCACAGCAGTCCTGTTACCTTGATCTTTTTTTTAAATACATTTTTAAAAAGTCACTGTAATGTGCTTCGTTTCAACGTGCTATTAGCATAAATGCTACGATGTTATATTTCATGTATTTGCTAATTCTATGCTAAAAACTCACTTTTGGTACTTTATCCAAGCGAGAAGTGGGGTACACCCTGAATTGGTTGCGAGTACATCAGGACAGAGACATAAAATAAATAAACGCATTCACGCTCATTTTTCACACAATGGCCAATTTAGTCCTCAATGAAGCCAACATTCATGTTTCTGGAATGTGACAGGAAGCCAGAGAACAAAACACATACCAAAGGAAGAAACCATTTGTCGAAGCTTTGTTAAAACTTTGGAGGTGGAGGTGGGGGGTGCGAGGGCATTTGGGCAAGTGGTTTCAGATTGATGGGCTAAAAAACAATCAAATAATTGTCCAAGCCCAATTTAAAAATGCTGCTCCTCATTTTGACTTTCATCATTCATACTTGCTGGCTGCGAGCTGGGTGAAAAAAAGGGGAGGGATATAAATAAATAAATAAATAAAGGGAAAAGGTATACGAGATGTTGCATGAGAATCCGCAGAAAAATCTGGTTCCCAGGATTCTCACACTGGTTATTCTGACTCATGGCATGACTTCAAATACTATACCTGTGGAAAGTACTTTGAAACCAATTTTGAAACAATCCCACAGGAAAACCTTAAAACATCAGTGAGAGTAGTGGAATCATCGATGACAAACCATGAAATTTCAAATTCTTCATATTTTTATCAATTTAAAAAAAATTAGGCAGTCGATGTTCTTACACTTATAAATAATAATGCCCTAAATCTCCCCCATCCTCTCTCATATTGGCAACCTGCAGACTCATTATTTGCATGCGTCTTCGCCATTGCTCCCCACATGACCTGCAGAAAGTAGGGTCAGGCAATTATGAACAGAAATGCCATTTTGTCGGGGCGACTCAGCCGCCTGACAAAGACGGAGCGAGGGCCATTTCTTTCCTGGCGTTTTATTAATAGGCTCGGCGGTTGCAAAGACATGCGCCGCTGGGTAACATACTACAGGCTCTGTGTTAAATCACATCCTGTTTAGGATAATTACCATCACGACTTGGGATTAAACAACAATCCCCCAAAAATGTCTCAAGTTTGTTCAAGCAACCAAAGAAAATCAGGCGGACGTTTTCGCCTGCACGTGGAATCTTTGTTGACCGCAGCAACGACTTCTGGTGATCAAAGCTCAGAGAACAAGTTAATCGTTAATTTAGAGGGCAGAAGCAAAATAAATACGGCGCAAAACAAGCTGATCCTACTTGCCAAAATGTCAACAGTGTCTGGGTCTGACATCCTCAAAGTGACTTTGTACCAAAGTCTCGTTTCGAGGCGTATTTATGTGTAATCCACTTAGGAAAGACGAATCTTGGTACCGTTTATGGATTTCCAAGTCGTGATGGTACTTAGGAAGCCTAATTAATCTAATAAAGCATGTATGAAGGCCCAATTGAATTTGCCGTGGGTAGCTGTGGGCACGCGCGCGGCCTTACGGAAATCCGTCACATTCCACGTCATTCAATAATGCATGATTTTGATCGATTCAAGTGACGGATCGGCGATGCCGAGGTAGGCTTTGAAAAGTCGGCGATAAAACTTTTGTCGTTTCTCAATGAGCCCATGAATAATTCACGTACACAGCGGAGGAGCAACTTGAGCAGGGTTATGTTTTAATTAAGAAACCATAATGAAACGAGTGCAACCGAGAAACCTACAGTTACAGTGCTATGCGATACATTGACAGTCGTCACTGGATAATGTAACCAAAGCATCATTAAATATTGTCCCTACATCATTTACAGTCAATCGTAAATGCTGTGGAAAAACAACGTGCAATTCTTCTTCGGTCCCTCACTTTGTACATAAGGTGGGGAGGGTGTTTTTTTTTTAACAATAATAATAATAACAATAGTCTGTTGTGCTGTATAAATAAAGAACGTCCAACAAAGATATAAAAGAGCAGCATATACGTGTTGAGTATTTGATCAAATATACGGTATGTTACCCATGCATGGACTACAGCGCGGTCACTCTCAGTCATTCTCTGCCTCTTTTGCGGCCACTTTCGCTAAAATAGAGGAGAAAAGAGAAGATCATACTGACAACAATGGAGCATCACCAAATCTTGGATTAAGTGTCCACAAACATGCATGTGGAGAATATTTGATCTTATTTAAATGGATCTTTTCCAATCCTACTCGGCTCAAGTAGCCATACAAGTTCTTGCTTGTGTTTGTTAAATATATAATTGCAATAATGAGGGGAAAAATTAAATCGCGGTAAGATTATTTCCCAAAATCGTTGAGGGATGGGCTACCACCGATACCAGGTTTTGAATCGGGCCGATATCAAGCCTATTTTGGGGGATCGGGTATTCATGGAGGTTGCTGATACCAGCCTCTAATATTTAAGGCGAAGAAAATGTGACATTTATAATAAGTCCTCCTAGGCAGTAGTTGGCGCTATACAACAACAGCGTGACACATCGGCGAATAATTATTTGCGTCAGAAAGAAAAGGTTTTGTTCACAATGTTTTTCAATTTTTGAAACAATTTGAAGGGACACAGAACTGATTTTTTTTTTTAAATTCTTGTTGAAATCGGTTTACATTGTCAGTTAAAAGTTTAAAGGCAATAAACTGAACATGGTTTTCCAATTGTGACAGTGAAGGTTTACATTAACATTTTTTTTTAAAGACACTCAGAATAAAGTTTCTTTTTCTTTACAATTTGCTCATGACTTGAAACACTCAATGTTCCTGCACCGCCTCTTTGCACTTGAAAATTCTGAGCAATATTACAGTAAGAGCTTTTTTTTTTTTTAAATATTCCTGGCACTTCATTTTCCATATTATATATACAGGATTTTTTTTTTACCCCACGTTTTTTTGGGGGGGGGGGGCACAATACCACAATAGTAGTGTACCATGGTCTCAAAACCGTGAAGCTATCGTGCCATATTTTGATATTGTTGCATCCCTCGTCTCCAGACATCTGCGCGGCTCAGCCTACGAAAAAATTTATTTCGTTTTTATCCATTGCTGTTTTATGCTAGCAGGTCACTAGCATGTAAAGCATGTATGAGGGCCCAATGCATTCATTGCAATTTTTTTATTTTTTGCAGTTCCCATCCTCAAACTGAGGCGAATAGAGCTACTTCGAGCTTAACCTAGCCGGTACTCTGTAGTGGAAAAACAACGTTTGGGTGTCTTGTCATCAACCGTACGGGAATGAAAACTTCCACATTCCACGACCCACGTTTGCATGGTCAAAAAGGCCAAACAGCAACAAGGATTTTCTATTGCTATGAACTGGAAACATTTCACCACATGGTGTGACGACTACAAGGCTCTTGCAATACACTCACCACCAGCAAGAAAGGCAAGGCTGTGTTTTGGTAGTTTGCGTGTTGGAGGAATCACAAACTTAAAGGGAGTGTGGGTACAGGTGCATCTCAATCGATGAGGATATTGCTAAGAAGTTCATTTATTTCAGTAGTTTCATTCGAAAAGTGAAACATATATTATTCAGAGTTATTCATCACATTTTCAGAAGGCCACTTCCAGCTTAATGTAGGCTGGACTGAATTTTGATTCTCGTTATGATTGCCTGGGTCATTTTTTTCATTTTTTTTAAACGTTTTCGGAAAATAAAGTAACACAAAAAATTTACTATTCAGAGTCAATTTCCCTTGATTTTAACCTTTGCAGATTTCGTTATGATTGCCTGGGTCATTTTTTTCATTTTTTCAAACGTTTTCGGAAAATAAAGTAACAAAAAAAATTACTATTCAGAGTCAATTTGCCTTGATTTTAACCTTTGCAGATGACAATGATCTGGGTAACTCAAATATCAACAGACAAAAGAAAATGTTGGGAGCACATTTGTACATTTTATTGCCTTGGGCAATTATGCTATCACGCTAACTGTAATAGTTTTGAGATGGATTTTTATTGTTCTTTATCCAACCATCCATCCATCCATCATCTCTACTGTCTATCGTCACTAAGATTTAACAGAGTGATGGGAGCAAAAAAATAAAAAATAATTTTTTTTAGGTGAATTCACAGAGTCAAGGATTTTATTTTTTATTTTTTGGTGACTGTCTGTCTCGAATATAAAAGTATGACTTTGGCACCATGTCGCGACATCTTGGAACGATGCTGAAATGAGCGGAGGAGCTTCATTTAGACCAATGGTTCCCGATGGAGAAACCTTAAATCAAGAAACGACAGTTCTCATGTATTTTCGCACTTTGTGACAAGCCTGTGGTTCATATTAACTGAACTACTGAAATAAATGTTTTCTGCAATATTGTAATTATTGAGGTGCACTTGGAAGAGTGATTGTAAGCACACGACTGAGGTTTCTCAACCTGGAGGAGGGGAGTTTGGGACTTTTGGGGTTTTTTTTTTTTTAATGAGAATCTGATTTTATAGGGGACATCCCAAAGTCCTTAGCAGAGTCCAAGGCATCGGCGGTCATAGGGGAAGAGACCTTCCGGTAGATGAAATCGTACAGGCTGACATCGGGTCGCCTGGTGCGGCAGTTCTTGCAAACCAAATTGGAGTATTGGTTCAAAAGGCCGTACAGCCTCCCTGGAAAGCGACGGCAAGGACGGATATGGGAGGAGGGGGGAATGGGGGGGGTGCATGGCACATGTTCAGACAAGGAAGGAGAGGTTTTTGGGTGACAGAGACAAAGAGAACAAACAGGTTGAGAGTGAAAAAACGACCGAGAGAGGATAAGATTATGCCACAAAAAAAAAAACCCATTAAATGAAAGCCAGTTTGCGCTCGTGCTGGTGCGTCTCTGCAGCTCCACTTTAGGAAATGGATAGCCGGAGGGGAATTTCTCTGAAAGGCTTCAATAAATGTCAGCGGGAGAAAAAAAAAAATGAAAAGTGGGGGAGGGGGGATGCTGGAAAGGCTTCAATAAATGTCAGCGGGAGAAAAAAAATGAAAAATGGGGGAGGGGGGATGCTAGGGTCACCAGTAATCCACTCTGACGCTAAATGGATGGGCCCAAGGAAAAGACATGGCCTGTGAGGTGTAATAACTTAGCATGTACAAGGGGGCTGCCTTTTTTTTTTCCTCGTATATTGGCGCGTTAATAGTGGCAGCAAGGACAAGCCTCTCAATCTTTACCAGCTCAATCGTGGCTAATATCGTTCCAAGTCCTATTTATTGCATACTCTACTATAAGAACTCCATAACAGGCGGGCGCTGGATTTAATGAAATGCAGTGGAATGTCAGTTGAACAAACCATGCGGGATCTTTGCAGAATGCTGGTCCCACCTCGCATTTGTTTCGATTTCTGAAACATTTTTCCTTCTCATATGAATCCCCGATATTTCAAAAAATTGTCACACAAAGCAAAATACTATCTGAAGTTTCAATACTTTAGAGGCGTAATTTGCATGTCCAAATGGAAAAAATTGTACGTTATGACCTGTTCGACGCTAGAGGCTATTTATAGCTTTAAGGGAAAGAAAAAAAAAGCGTTCCACCTTACCCACGGTGACTTGTTTCTCAGTCAAGAAAGTGTGCATGTCGTGAACATCTCGCATGAGCAGAGCATCTCCAAAGGTGAAGTACGCCACGTCCCTGCCCGCCTCCGCTGCTGCCATCAGCTGAATCAGCGCTAATGAAAGAGAAAGCGAGATGGCTGAAAGGGAAAGCCGGGCCGACGGCGGCCAACTTGCATCATTCTGTCGTATTTGGAGATGACTTCAGTTAACGAAGGAATGACAAACTAAAATCGGGCTGGGCAATTAATAGATCAATTCAGTAATTATATATATATATTTTTTTTAGAGGTTAACTCTATTATTATTTTTAATAACATCGTCATTTGCCTTTAAGATAAGACAAGAAAACCTTCATTTTTTTTCTAGTGAAATAAGAATCAATCAGAATCCTAAATCAGATGTGTGTGTGTGTTTAGCCATAGCTGAATTAAATTATGAGAGCTTGGTAGCAATTGGTCAATGATCCAAAACGAGGGATGCCTTCTGCCCGGAAGCCCACGAGTCGAGGCCTTCCGTCTTATAGCAAATTAGGACCGTTAAATATTTAACAGCCTGGGTATTAACTCCAGATTAATGAAAGCAGGACTCAAAACATCATTATGAAAAGGGCTGTAATCTTTACCGCGAAAATATAGCTCAGGCTCATGTCAGAGTAGGTGGACATAAAACGCTAAGCTAATTCCAAAGCTAATGGGTACGGGATTCAGCAGACATTAAAAAAAAAAAAAAAAATGGGGGGAGTCTGTAAACTGAGTCTTAATACATATGAAAGTTTTTGATGCATAGCAAGCACATGGAGCCCTGAGGATGTTACTCGGTTCATTCTCTGAGTGTGAACTGAATATATGTTGCCCCAACGGTGTCACATTAGACCATTAGCAATTGGGCGAAAATGTGCAGTGTTAAGTCTTCCCCGGGACAGTAAGTGGGCCCTCGCTTATGAAGAGTGATGTCGCGCGAGTCCGCAGAGGATGCGATTTATGGACTCCCTTGCCTGTAATCAATCGGCGATTTAATGGAAAGCGTAAACGTGTGTCAGCAGATCGATAAAAGGGTGGGAAGAAACGGATGACTGACACACGGGCCGGCGACGAATTGAGCGAGGCGGGTTTGAAAGGGTCACGTGTTTTGTAGTGCTTCAAAAAAAAATGTGCTGCTGCTCTATGTATGCTAAAGTTGCAGTCGTTTGAAGGTTTATGACAACCATCACATCTATGCTAATACCCTTTCGCCTATTAAGCTAGTTCGTCAAGTATTTCCCAGTGAACAACTGCATTGTTGATGCGGCTCATTTGTTGAAATATCAAAGATATAAAATGGTTGCCTTCGTCTTTATCGTCAACAACACATTTCTGATTTGATCGAATGGTACCTTTGAGTCTCGTGTCTCCGCCGAAAGCGCCGCAGCCCCAGTTGCCGGTGGCTATTGCGGACAGGTGCTTTCTGTTGGCATTATTTCGGAAGAATCCACAGTACGCCTGGAAAGAGAAGTGGGAAGAACCGAAACTTTAGCAGGAAAGAGGCTCATGAGGTCCCGCAAAAAGATCCTTTTACATATCTAAGATTTTGATGTCACCTTAATACAGGGGCCCATCTGTTTGCGCCGAAATAAAAAAGCATTTTTCTCACCTTGTTGAGCTCTCTCGTCATCTTTTCAGGTAGAAATTGCTCCAGGAAGTTTTTGTATTTCAGAGCATCAATGGCCACAATCTCTGTACACCGTCTCTGCCAGTCGTCCCTGCGATGAGATAGAGACTTTGATTTCAAACCCCCAGTCTTTTGAACATTGTAACTGAGCTGACAAACTATCAGGGTGAAAGTGAAAGACTACCTCGGAGTCTCATCCTTGTAGCACTCGTCCCACTTGTACGTTTCAGCATAGCCGGAATATCGACTTTACCGCTCAGCACCTACAAAAAAAAAAAAAAAAAAAAAAAAAATCAAATAAAAATTTTTAAAAAAACATACGAGGGAAACAGAATTTGTGTCTTTCAGTTTAAGTCGTTCCCAACAAACCTCAGTCAAACCTCGGCTTTCGAATGTCTCTGTTATCGACCAAATCGGATTTCGACCAGAAAATTCACCTCGGATTACGACCGAAAACCGTTCTTCCACCAAACTGAGCAAACCCGAATATGTCATTTGACTCTTCTCTGAGGAAGTGACGCTTCCTCGTGTGGCGTTCGTTCATTGTGAGCAGACGTGTTTGTTGTGATGGATGCAAATCTGGCTGTTTTTTTTGTTATTTCTGCAACGTGTATTAGCCCCTAATCATGGGCTAATAAAATAGTTTCGGATTTCGAACAAATCACTTTTCGAACAGTCTTCTGTAACGGATTATGGTTGAAAACCGAGGTATGACTGAAGTACTCTCACAAGGGATATGCATACTATTCAAACAAATAAATGACCATAACAATCAAGTCGATTGTGTGAAGTTGATTGTTGATAAACACAACAGTGGACCTTGACCGCTGCACAAATGTATAACCAATTTCTCCTCGAGTCAGACTCCACAGTCTTTCCCAAAATTCCATAAAAAAGTATCTTGGAAGCGTCATATTTGAGAGGCAGCCCTAAAATGTCACCAATACATAAATATTTGAGCGCACACAACGTGGGCCTAAATGTGTTTCAGGGCCTTGTCTTTTCAAATCAAATTCAGTGCGTACGCAGTATCAGCAAGGATCGCATGGCCATCAATAAAAGCCTGTGATTTCATCGGTAATCTGCTTTGGGGTTGAAATAAAAAGCTTTCACTCGTAATGGGCAGAAACGGTTCAAATCGAAGAAGGTACTATCGTGAGCCCCCTTTGAACATGTACACAAGCAGTAAATGACAGTTACCATGGCGGTAGTATTACCGTAATCTATTATGGGCATAAAGTCAGGTTGATTGGTTTTGAACGATTCGGTTGATTGTGCGCAATTGATTGTTGATTAATTATAACCTGGCAACCACTGGCAGAAACACGGTTCCTTCAGACGTATGCTACAATCGAGTGTGAGGTACTTCAACAGTCAGGGGCCGTAATTAGCATTTAACCTTCCTTACAAATGAAAAAAGTTGAGTTTCAAGAGCATTGTTTCATTTACTTAAATCGCCGCATTCTCATTTCTTTCCATTGATTTTATTTCAAACACATGGGGGCGAAAAAATGGCTCGTTGTGAGAACTTTTCCAAAGGGGGAAAAAAAAAAGCCTGTGATTGGAGGCACGGTGTTGAAACAACAATCGTGCTACAATTGAAATTTTTCATCGCCAAGACGCTCTTAAAAAGTCCAGTGAGAAGAAAGAAGCATTCATTTCCACAAAACAAGCAACTTAATCTTCCAGGAACAAGCTGCTCATCCTTTCCTTTATCAACAGACAAGAGCTGCTTGCCCTCCCCAATCACCTTGATGTCATTTGTAACGGAAACTCTCCGGCTCCTCTTTACAGCATCCTGTCATAAAAGGTTCCCATCACCAGATTACATCGTGGGTGCTCCTCTACCTTCCGGTCCGGCAACACCCCCGTGGAGGAATACCGACGTCACATTGAAAACGTACAAGAAGACCCGCGGTTGTGAAGAATATGATCAGAGGAGAGAGGTGTGTACACAAACGTCTGGACCAAAAAAAAAAAAAAAAAAAAACAAGATTAAGAGTCTGGATTGAGAATCATCGGAAAGCCTGCATGCGTGCAAAGAATATCGCGCAAGGTTTTTAATGAATCTATGGCGTAACTGGCCCATTCCATTAGTGGAGCGATGACCTTAGTGCGGTTATAAATTCCTTTCTGTCCAAATGTAATAAAAACGTCTGGACCAGATGAGGAGGAGGAGGAGGAGGAAGAGGAGGAGGGATAGAGGGAGGGAGGTGGGAATGGTCTGAGGCTCGGAGGAGGACGGTGACGAACAACTGAAGGTGACTCGGAAAAGAGATGAATGTCCCGTAGAAGACAGGGCGGCGCCACTGTGTCGCTGGCTGCGGCTAGTTAAGATAAAAGTCGATTTTTACATTGACGGTAGAGAATTAAGCGGTCTGTGTGTGTGTGTGTGTGTGTGTGTGTTTGGTGACATCGCTGGACCTGAGTGTCATCGTCTGTCTGCATCTACCTCAGCACCCTTTTGTGGAAATCGACACAAATATGCTTATCCTGGGGCAAAGCTATAAATAATCCACCCTTAAGGGTAGTATATGAAGGTGTTTCCTGTTTTCTGTACTTATAAAACAACTATAAACATTATTTTGTGCACAACTGGAAAAAAAAAGCCTGATCAAAAAATATAAATATTAAGACGCCCATTCAAAATGACCCTTAAAAAGCTTTTTTTTCTCTGTACTTGTGTATTCCAAGAGTGAATAATATGAAGTAATAAAGTGTCATTGCTTTTAAATCTAGATTATGAACTGTGCTGTTCCCATACTTACAATTAAGGTTTTTTTTTTTTTTTAATGTTATGTTTTCCAAAATCTTGTTCTTACACTGTATGCCCCCCTCCCCCGAACCCCCCCTCTCAAAAAAATCGGGTCATCTATCATAGCCAGTCCTATGACCTTTTACCTGTAATAATGAGGCATTCGTTGTACTCCAGTGCTTCAGTGAAGAGACGGGAGACAATGAGTTCGGGGTTGATGATGAACCGGATCTCTTCTTGGACCAGGCCATGTCCCGTGACGCCGCCACCTACGAATCGGTTTGCAAAGTCCACCTTGTGAGAGAGGGGGGGGGGGCATTTTATTACTCGACGGCACAGTCGGAAATGCTTTTCTTCTCCTTACAAAAAAAGAGCAAAATGGATAAAGTCTCGTCTATTCAATGCAGTTGGGCTGAACAGTGAGATTGAACTTCCAGTTATGGAGATAAATGACTCAATTAGTATGTCCTTATTTCCTGCCACCCACCGTGCTCATTTAATACAGATAAAGATCACATGCTTGCTTCCTGTTTGGGGAATAATCAAATGAGGAAGCAAAATCACGCATGTTTGATCCATAAAAACTCATAACGCTGAAATAAATGAATGGTAAACAGAATTACTTCAAAAAATGTACACGATATACTTGCAAAAAAAAAAAAAAAAGAAAAAAAAAGTGTCAACCCATTAGAATGACCTGCATTTTTGCAAAATGTCATCCGAGTTCAACAAAAGGCAAATCTCATCAAGGCTTGTCCACATACTTTAGTGACCCTTTCCAACTTCGTGTTAAGTTTGCAACACTTAATTTTCGAGCTCTTTTGTGTGCGGCAAGGTTCACGTTGGGCAATGCTTCTTGAGAATTGTATGCTCAAAACTATTTTTCCAACTTTAACCAACACCTCCAGTCTCATCACAATGATTGGTTTCTAAGTCGTCAGCTAAGATGAGTTTTTGGAGAAGTCATTAGCATCGAACTGTGAATATTTGTGCAGCATTATTTAGATTAGACAAACATCATGTCACATTTTATCTCGGCAAAAATTCCAAAGAATTCACACAATTTTTCCTTCCAACTGTGTATCTTTTTGACATGATGCCATGTGCGCCGACCCACTGGCAGCACAAGAATAAGAGAGGACAGCGCATTTCAATGAAAACGCTGCTATTCAAACATATCTGTCATAGGGAGGGTCCTGCTCACTGGCCCACGGCCGCATCAATCCCCCGTGACAGCGAATGTGTTTCTAACCCGCGTGGATTTTTGAACCGGTTCTCCTCACCTCGTTCACCCCAAGCCTCACCCCTCCTCATCCTTCAATCTCACCTCCCCTGACAGAATGACAGCCGACGCTGCCCCATCAAAACCTCGGCACAGAGCCGCAGTTGAAGGAGGCGTCAGTACACCCGCGGGGAGTCGTGAACCCGCACTGCGTTCCCCCAGTAAGATGCCTCACCCTAGTCATCTTTTTTTTTCTTCCCCAACGCAAATCTCTTTTTCTGTACCCCACGGTCTTTGCTATACCCCCTTATACGTCTCTGAGCTACTCATGTGGATACTTGAGCTGTCAGGCAAAGAGTTAAAATACACTTGCCATGCCGAGACCAATGAGAGGATTGACAAAGAGTGAATTCATTGCAGCAGATACGAGGGGTGCACAACCGCATTTCATGTGAAACGCTAATGGCCATCAACCGTTAAGTGCTTTGGTTAAGCTGAAAGGTGACAAACTTGCTTGCAAAAACTGGGTAGATCTGACGTTAAACGGATTTCATACCTGCAGCATCCCGTAACCGTCATCCTCGATTGTCCCCTCGCAGGTGATATGTAAGCGTGTCAGCTGAGTCTGGCAGCTTGAAAAAAGAAAAAGGACACTTTTCAATGACATCCGAGTTATTTGCAAATCATACTATTGCATTAAAGTAATAATCGGCAAGTTACACATGATTAGCTCGGTTCTATTTCATTATCACTAATAACAAATTCCATTGTACATTTGTCTGAATATGGATAGACTGCGCTTGAATTTTTTTTTTTGCTATGGTACGTGTCTGTAAAAATCACCATTGTTTTCCATCTCTAAACTGGTGACAACATACCGTGACTCCCAAGTTCCATTCATAGTCGAAATACAATAAAAATGTTGTTTTTTTTCTGGGGTGTGTCTCAACTTTTCTATTAAAAAATAAAAAAATAAAAAAAAAAGTCATACTTCTCCCAGGTTGGAAGCGTGCTCATCGTTTGTCTTGTGAATGTCACGAGGCCCTTTGGTCCTAAAAGACAACAATAAACATGTTCATTAAATTCTATTTTCTTTTGGGGGGGGGGGAGGAAAAAAAAAGAAAAAAAAAGGTATCGTGATTTCCTGATGCTTACTGGTCTGCGAAACTCTCCTAAAGTAGCAGATGAGGGTTTTCAACTTCTCAATTTTTCGTGGTGAGGAGCCTTCAAATAACCTGCGGATAAAGTGTTGTTTCAACCAAATAGTTTGTCACATCATTTTATGGCTGAAAACAATACGTGTAGATTTAGAGGAGACCCATAGCTTCTTTTTTTTTCCTGTCAACCATAGCTGATAAAAACAGTAAGCTTGGCAGTTTCTGACAGTCCGATAACAAGTTATTTTTGTAAATGAATCAGCCAGCTTCGTATTTACTTATTTGATAACACACAAAAAAAGAGAATGTCAGTTTGGATATCAAATTGTTTTCCCACATCATTTCCTTCTCAAGCGGGGAAAAACAGCAGCTGAAGAGCGTTCCGCTCTCCCCTCTCTAACATATCCATCACTTAACGAGGACAAACCTCGACAGTTCTGCCAAAAAAGCAATCAGCAGATTGCTTGCCGCGCTGCCTGTCCAAGACAGAGCGCCACTGTAGCCAATAAGCAAAGTGATGGACACTCCCTCAATTATAAGCGTGGAATGGAGCCGGAGGGGGGGAGAGCTTGGGCAATAACGATCCGGCGTCCATTTTGGACTGCGCTGCTTGTCTTGTCTCATCGTCTCACAAATTCGGCTCCGTATATGCTGCAGGAAGTAATGCTGATAGTGAAGGTGGGGCCCCAAGTATCTGCAAGCAAGCGATAGAAGGGCTCTGTGACTGGAATCGATGCTTAACATTATTACACAGCCCTCTTCACTTAGCCTGCTGCTAACATCGGGTGCGTAGGGGGGGAAAAAACAAACAAGCAAACAAAAAAAAACCTTCTTGTACAAATGACTGGGATCGGAGGATAAAGATTTAGATAACAGGTCAAGACACCGAATTATACCACTAAAACCCCTCAGGACAGACCGCTAATAAGAGTCAAATATACACCGGAATCAGTGCATATGCCAATTAATTGGGGTTTTTAAACTATGCTTCCTATTGGAGCACTGGAAATATAAACGTCTGTCCCCAAAACCAAGGCCATCAAAAAAGGTTATAAAACAGAATTGAAGAGAAAGCCTTTATTGTCATTGAACTATGCAGAACTGCAGATATAACTAAAATGTAAGTACCATTTTACTTGAAGTGTACTGTGCTCCCCGAACATTCGTAAATTCGATACTACTCGTAACTTCACCTATTCAACGCTATCCTCCATTGATTTGCTGAAAAGCTCCTCCCTTTACTGTTCTTGTACTCAGGCTAATATAAATGTGTTACTTTGCCACCAACTTTCGACATCTCAGTACCAAAGAACTATGTTTGAGTAAAAGGAGGCGCTTCATTTAGAAAGGCCATCTGGTCTGATAGAAAAGTTGGCCGCTAAAGCGTCTTCTGCTCATAAAAGTATTATGTAACCCATGACTGAGGCCGGCCCTTGTTTAAGAAAATGTAATTCAAAACTGACATTAAAAAAAAAGTCAAACACAGAAGACAACCATAACGTATTCCCAGAATCGGTGGATGGAAAGATACGCTGTCATTTCAAATTACTCATGTTTTGTATTCAGAGGCATGTACTTCATGGAATTTAAGCAAGATTTCCACTGCTGGGATGCCCCTAAAAAAAAAGGATACTACATTTTGATGTTTGTCCGACTCCTTGCAACTTCATAACGAGGCAAAAAGACAAACAGACCGGATGTTATTAACCATGTCACTGACGAGGAAGATGGCTCCTCAAAGAGACGAGGGAAAATTGAGTTGTGGCAAAACCTGCACTATGTCCACCAGGTAAGGAGGCGGCTGTGAATAAAATAAGACAGATGGCATTTTAACGGGATTACAACATGTCTACGAACCACATATCATTTAAAGAGCCAATCGTGCTTGTTTATGAATGACTCATATCCTACATATCGCATTGCGTATGCATATAGTATTTATAAAAAAAAAAAACAGCAAGTCATATAAAAGCTTTTTCTAAATGAAGAGAAAATACAGACAGATCAGAGTGCAACGTAACAAAAATAATTTACTGCCAATTATCCTTTCCAGATGATCCCAAAGAGCGGCGGCTGCGGACTCCCACAATTAGTGAGACAGAAGCCTGAGCTTGGTTCAGAGACTCCCACTTTTCCAAAAACATTCTGCGCACATGAAAAACTGATGGGTGGGCCGCTGAATTGAAACCAAATGTTATTTGTCTCTGTGGTGTAATATTGGGACGCAGTTGTGAAATGACTCAACTACTGGAGGTTTTTAAGGCGCTAGTGCCCCCTTATGGAAATATTCGCTCCCAAGACAATGCAAAAATATAGCCCGAGTGATGGCTTGTAAATTGAAGAGCTCAGAATTTGGAGCAGGTTGTAATATGTTGATCGAGCTCATGAACACATTTTTTTTCATCAATCAGTATAGCAAAGTGAGGATGGAAGAAGCCACATCAGGATTAACAATTTTAAAAGCCTGCATGGGGGATGAAGCAAAGAAGCCAAGGACTTAGTGGAAGGTGCCTTCACCTGTAGAAGTTGATCTCGGGATAGTTGCAGTATTCCGACTTGCGGGAGTTGCGTCGCGGGAACGTGCAGAAGAAGGCGTTAGCCAGAAGACATGCGATTTGCTCCTGAGACATGGTTAGGGAATGGTTCATCCGTGACTTCAGCAGGGGAATTGGCTGGGGAAAGAACCCCCCCCAAAAAGAGGGGAGACTGTGAGGATTATGTCAATAGAAATGACAGACAGATCAGAAGGGGGGAGCAGTCCAAGGAGAGACACTGAAGATACATACAAGGTGATACGAGTTTGATCGTGTGGCTCGAAGGCTGATGGGAGGGGATGATTAGTACAGCCATATAACAAGCAGGACACACGGAGGATGCCATTAAATAAATGGGAAGAAGTAATTAAGGTCTGTGTTTTCCTACGCTCGCCCATGTTCTCTCCCAGTCAGACACGGAGTCTCATTTGTCTTCGCTGATTAGAGCAAAAGAGCCTCCCAGGACTGCCCTGGTTAGCGGATCAATAGCGGCTCTAATAACACAAGGCTGAACATCTGGCCTGAGACGGACGAAGCGGCAAGAGACGGAATTTTCATTAACAAACCGCTGGGAAGAAGGATTCTTTCCTGTTGTGACAAGTTAGCATAGTGCCAGGTTAGAAATTGCAACCCTGGTTTGTCTCAATAATCGAAAAGATCTGCTTGGCTTAACACAGTTAGAATGTTGATGATAAATATTATTGGACACAATTTTCAGTTGTCCCTTGTCCTACGTTGAATTCGTTGAACATGTCAAGCCAATTGTTTTTGATAAAGGAAAACAGCATTGTCTTGTATATAACGATAAACCGGACGAAAATTAACCAGTTTCATAAAGTGTCTTTAGTGTATCAACTGTAGGATTAGTGTGTTGCCTGTGTGCCTCTAAGGGGCGTGTCCTAGTGCGTGGAGAAGCTGGAAGTGTTCTCATTTGTCCCGTTCAATAAAGGGCTCAAAGTGCATCAGCGATTGTGGCTCACCTTGCCCACATGCAAGGGCATCACAATGCCTTCATTTCTACCCCTTTAAAAATAAAGATCATATCTGAATGAAAATGTTCCCTGAAATCAAGTTGATTTAAAATACCATTCTGGTCTGAATTCCACCACACGAAGCAGTATTTATTTATTTTTTTTAAGAATTCCAAACAGAGTAAAAAAATAAATAGATTATATATTAACAGTGCAGCACGTACCATAGTGCAGAGGCGTGGAGCGCTGAGTGCCAGTTTGACCATGGAAGGCAGCACGGCCTCGTAAAGGTGCTGAACCTCGCAATGCTCCAGACACTGAAGGATGAAATAGGATCGTAGTGTTAAGTATGCAAATTCAATTCAAGGTCTGCCAAATAATACGTGCTTATACTTTGCCCTGATCTAATGCTCTGGTATGTTCTTCTTCCTGAATGAACACTATTTCTGATGAGTGGCTTTGACTGGTGCTATGTATTGATTAAGTCGAAAACCTTTACATTTTGGTATGTCATAATTTTGGAAAAGGTGCTTTTTTTTTTGTTCATCTTTTTTTTTTTTTTTTTTAATCAGCCAAGGCATCGCCAGCGGCTTGATGGAAAGTCAGAAAAGGTTTGAAAAGCAATCCATGTTCACGACCCAATACCCTGCTGCCAATATAACAGTCGTCTCGGTTCTCAACAAAACATCAATAACAATAACACAAGTTGATGTTGTCCTGGGCCAATTTTGCGCTCCGCTTCAGCAACGAAACACCGAGAACAGATGCTGTGAAGCCGCTGAAGTAGTTGAAGCTATCTGGAGGACTTCGTCACAAGACGTGTTTGCTAACTTCCCACTTTATCAGTAGATTAAGAGCTAGCAGCCTAAAATCGACGGTGTAAAGATCAGATCGGCTGCTGCTGTTTCAGATGGCAAAAGTCATGACCAGCGTCAAGCTTCTACTGTTAATTAGTCGTCTTCCCATCATGTTCTCCAGGTAGGAAAGCCCTCAGGATCCAACAGGAGGGATTATAAAAAGCATGACGGATGTCCCTGGGGAGGCGTGACAACGAGTAGCTGGGATGAAAGACCAAGCGGACGTCATTCAACACAATTTGCGATAAGCGTCGCAAAATGGAACAACTCAGTCAATCAGGAAAGGGAACAGCCACGCACTTCAGCCTCCAGCTTGCCTCAGCAATTCCCTCTAAAATAAACACACTCACTCCGTCATACGGCCCAGATTTACAAAGCAATCACTTATGAGCGTATTGGCTTCAAATGTCACCCGTATCAATCACGTGCCTTATTCTATCAAGGTAAGCGGAGCAGCTGATTAAATGGACTTTCTGGAGCGAATGCAAATGACCAATCGGCGAGAGAGAGAGCGAGAGAGAGAGAGAGAGAGAGAGAGCGAGAGAGATTTTCACCGCAGAGGTCTTCGTTGGGCAATTTGTCCGGGGAGCGTTTATGTGGCAGCAGGGCAGGTCTGACTAAACGCTGTCAGAAGTAATGAGCTGGCAGGCATCATAAAACGCTCCCGTGGGACTAATAGATGGTCGATGTGGCAGAAGGTAGAAATATGATCTCCCACACAAGTTATAGCTGCTGACCATAAATGGTATCGCTCGGGTTGTAGGTGCAGAGCTAAGGTTTCCACTCATGATCTTGTTACATATTAATTGAATCAAGTTATTCTGGCAGTGGATTAAAGTGACGCACAACTGGTTAAAAAGGAAAAAAAAAAAATGCTAGTTGACTTTTATGTTCATCTGATTTCAAAACAAGCGTTCCGAGTGGACATTATTTGGTGTGAATTTGTTCATTGCAGGCTTAAAATTGTACGTCCAACGTTTAATGTAAACATCTCAGAATATCTATGAAAGTAGCCAATCGTGGCTGCAGTCATCAAGTGTTATTGGAATCAATTATTCTATCGACTGTACTATCAATTGTGATTTAAAAAAAAAAAATTGCATTTGTGGTGCAAAATGTATAGCTTGTGTTGGCAATTCTAGACGTGCCGCTGTAGTACATTCGTTAGTTGTGCCTCCACTTGTTTTTTTAATGATCCAACACTTGGTACATTCTGTCTTTTGCGCACGCTCTCCTCTTGGCTCGTCAACTTATTTCAACACAAAGTGGTGCCTGAGTCTACAGTGACATAGTCTGTGGAGTAAAATGATCGCTGTGAGGCTTCCAGGCAGAGATTTTGCAATTTTTTTCCCCCATATATTGATGCAAATCCTAACTTTGACTTTTTACATCACTCAACCAATATTGTGTCATAATATCAACATCAATTCCAAGCGCGAATGGATTTCTTTTTCGTCAACAACAGATGTGCGGGGTCAGAACGACAAATAAGTGATAGCGTGTGACAAACACCAGTCGGAAATGCTTGACAAAGCACAAATGTTTGTGTACTCCCTCGGGGTATCAGCTGTACTCAAGCCCTGGACCGCTTCCATGCTTGGGCCCTCAGACATTTATCAGAAAGTGACACTGTGACAGTTTCATTTGGCAGGGGAGAAACACAAAGACAATTTACAGACTCATCCCAATTTATATGATTCTTTTTTTTTTTTAATCTTCTCTTCTACAGCCACGAGGGGAGTGTCAATCAGTGGAGCTTGGCTGTGGTATGTCTGGACAATTATTCAGTGCGTCATGAATGTTCCTTAAATTGAATAAATTGAATCTACGGCTGTGGCTCTCCTTTCTCCATGTGTGAGGGCATCATCGTGAGAATACTGCAAAAACCCACAATAACAAAAGGATGCTTAAAAAAATGTGACGTGACCGATGTGGCTGAATCAAACCCAAAGTGAGTTTCAGCTTTAAATCAAAGCTAGCTTCCTTTAAATACTATAAACTACCCTAAAAAGCCAGTTTTGAAGTTTATGTTCTGATGATGTGCCTTAATTTTGTAAGCTTACATGCTTTCTTGTAAGCTATTGTAAAACGCTTTAGCAGCACTTTTTTTTTTTTTTGAAATCGAATGCAAAGGAAAGCCTCGCTTATGTTAGAATGGAGGCCAAAGTCAGTGGAAGGGCAACTTTGAAGGCCTTACTTAGCATAATTTTCAGATGGGATGGACCCTTTTAATTAAATTGGGTGAAGCAATAAAGTGGCTCACGCGGCCAATCGATCACTCAAGCTCCGCCTCGCACCGAGACATTAGTCCAAGGAGCAGAAATTTTAAAAAGACCATTAAGAAAGGTCCATATTTAGCAGTGGTCGCATGTTTGAAATTATAGCGCGGATGCCGAAATGCGATTCAAAAGTGTTGTAAAATCCTAATTTCTCCATTAGGATAATCATGCCAGCAATAACTTGCAATAATGGGAACTGCTAGAGAAGCTCTTACAAGAAAATGATGTGCTTCTGCCATATTTGGTGGGAAGCAAAAACTTTTGTTTTTGCTTTTTCAAGCATGCAGCTCACCTCTGTGCAAAGAAGGTTGAGGGCGGTGAAGTCCCATTTCTTCGCATGGGCTGTGTTGTATCGCAAGATAGCATCCTAATGAGACAAAAGTCAGTCGCGCATCATATGTAAAAGCACAGCAGAATTGAATAAAAATAATGCATAGATGAAAGGCACCGTGGGACAAAGGACCACAAACAAGAGGAAATGAACTGTAGGGTGATATTGTTGCAAACACTGCCACCTTGTGGATATCGCAACACTCTTGAAAAGACAAACTGCAATTATTTTAGTGAGACGGAAATTACGATCAAAATTACGGTGGATCTCGTCTGCTTCAACAATCTAAAAACAAACACGCATAAGATACACAAAAGACATACAGTATTAAAATATAGTTCAGGGTAATGTGGCGAGGACGCACGATGATTGAGTTTGGTTAAGTGGGGAACTGAAATGTCTGAATGCAAGTGCATCGGAATAAATTTGAATATTGACGAAACGTATTTCAGCAGCTCGAGTCAGCAGAGAAATACTGCATGACTTAATTTCGAACAATTCTTTTGATCATGTGTTAAAACCTCAAATATACCAGCCGATGAAATAAGTCTTGCTTACCCTCACATCCAGAGAACTCTTGAACCCTCCTTGCAAGGCCGAGTGGATTAACTCCCACCGACTCTGGACACCGCCTCCATCCTACGAAATATTTTTTTAATTTTTTGCTATCAATGTTACGACTCCAACTTAAGCTTTAATTTATGATGGAAGACCACGTGCATCTCGTACCTCCGTCTCCAGTGGAAAGAGATTCTTCTCAGAGCAAGGCATCTTGACGGACACGTCATCCCACGCATCTTTGAACTTGCCAGGGTACGGGACAGGCACCTCTCCCTCTCTGAGGAGATCTGTCTGTAACATTGACAAACACACGTGATGTATTCTCAGGGACAGTTGTCGGAGAGCTGTTGGATTATTGTACTTCGTGTTAGCAGGAGGGGGAGGACAAAAAAAAAAAAGCGCCTAGGATAAGACTTGGAATATATGGCTTGAAAACAGAAGTGATTAGATGGTTCCCTCACCCTTACTGTGACGGTGTGGTTAGGTACGGCTTTTAGGTGAGACAAAGGGGGAGCGCATTGGGGCATCCTGTTCAGCTCATCTATGGGGGTCCCCAGCCATCCTCTGGTCACAGCATGCATAGGGGATGGAACACTGGAAGGACTGCCAACAAAACATGACATCGCAAATGAAGGTGGAGAAGCACAATGGATAAATTAAATCCAACACCACCACCAAGAAGCAACCCGATGATACTCAAGACTTTGGCTGAAGAGTAGAACTTAAAAAGTCCTGCTAGTAGTCTATATATCATTTGTATTGATCGTGAATACACAAAAGAAATGCGGATGAAATCTACACCCAGTAGGGCTCTGAGGTCTGCAGACTCGGGGTCAATTAGTGGAGGCCAGGGTGAAAAGTTAACCTGGTGAAGCAGCAGCTAGCTGTTATGCTGCACACAAATGGAATTAGCTGCCAACAGAAATGAAGTCGGCTCCAAACGTGCATGCTTTTAAGGCCCGGTTAAAAATCAATACTAGACATTTTCTCCATGTCTAGCATTGAAGCTTTAAAAAAACAAAACAAAAAAAAATATGTTTATGCTTTTAAATATTATATTTTTAATTACGTAAAGCACATTGAGTTACCCTGTGTCTGAAATGTGCAAAATTAATAAAGCTGACTTGCTTTGCCTTTAATTGCTTTGGCCTGAGCACAAAAATATTGAATAGACAAGATTATCAGCTCATAACTGTGGGTAGGTTCTAAAAAAAAACAACATATATACCAATAGGCAAATTCACAAATGCCAAACCACAAATATGCAAAGGTTCACTGTATTTCAAAAAATTCCCCAGTTTAGCTTCGCATTGAAATTTACCAGAAACTTTCCAGAACTGTCATACCTTTCACAAGTAGCACCCGATTGGTTGATAATCAATTCCTGGCTTACATCCGATAAATCGCTACAATCTGCCAGCACAGAATCCCCAGTTCCTGCGGCCGAACATGCGGCGTCGTGCTCTGAAACAAAGTGCTGAGATTTGTCTCCCAAGGCCTCTGCACACTCTTCGACACAAGCGGTGCCATCTCCTGCCGAGCTGTCGACGAGCAGCGTTTTATTAACGGGGCTGTTGGGACTTTGCATCTCTACGTCGTCGGGTGACGGGCCCTTCCGCGGACTCGAGCAGCAGGTGGGTTTAGGATTGGGCGAGTGTACGGCGACACAGGTTGTTTTCACCGGGTGAGGGCCGGGAGAACTTGGCCTCTTTGATTTTTGTCCATTCGAACACTGAGCAGGGGCTTGATTACTTCGAATGCTTGCAAGAGCAGGATCGCTGAACCCGCTTAAAGACCCGCAGTCCATTAAAGTCTGAGAGGCCGTGTCTCCCCGTAAAAGAACGTCTCCGTCTTGTTCCGGGGTTCTGCAGAAGAGCTCATCAGATCTGCATTCAGATTGGCTGTCACCAGTCACACTGGAACACAAACAAAAAACGAGAAGAAAAGAATCAGCAGAGTGCATCGACTCAAATATCACAAGTGGTTATTTTTTATTTACCTCCTCTGAGAATCCATTTCTGCATCCATTTTGGAGCGGTCAGACAAGGCAAGTGGATGAACGCTACTTAAAAAGTAAATAAAATCTGCGGTTACTACGGATCTGTGCACATATACACGATTCACAAAAAGTAACGGTCATTTCTGTAGGAATCTGGTGCATAAAAAATGTGAATGGGACAGCCCTGGTCTCAACGGAAGGTTTCAAGACAAGGTTAGTGGTAGGGAAGGTCAGGATTGGACTGCTTTAAGGTTTTAAATCGCGGTTTCAAGGCAGTGGGAGGGTTTTAGACAGGGGTTATGGTTTCCAATTATGGCTTCAAGACCATTATTAGAGCTTCAAGACCTGTGCTACAGTCTTTGACATGGTGGAGACTCTAAAACCTGGTGGTGGGAAACTTCTTGCTTGCCTTTTCCCAATCATCCATGTCCCCGCTTTTTCTTACCTACTTCCCATCCTAGTAGAATGTATGTTGTTGGAATAAGTAATCTAAATTATTATATACATTTTTTCATACAATAATTACTATAATTGTCTATAAAATAATTATGTCAACTTCATACATTAAATTGGGTTTGTTGAAATTAGCCGTAATACGTAAACGGCAACAGTAGTGGACGTACGTCACCAACAACAAATAAAGACAGCTTTCAGCTATTAGATACAAGCAGTAACACAAGCATCGATGTAAAAACCTGACGTATATGCATATAATTAAAAAACAGATATCTAATTAATGTTGAGGAAATAATTTTCGGTTAGATAACGGTCTCTCGGTGGCGAAGTGTACTTGGTACGAAACCTTAACGTAGATAAATCTCGAGCTAAGGGTCATTTCACATTCAAAATGTTAATATTGAAAATGCTAATTCAGTTGGAAAATGTTTGGCGTTTATTGGCTAGCAAACCATCCGCGTCGAGCTAGTCGGCGCCGTTAAAAATGAGGAGAAACAACTTACAAGCATGCCCCTCCACGTCTTTATTCCTTGCCTCGATGCATTAACTAGTTGTTTTTTTCATTCGGAATTTTACAAAGAGTTTCGTCGCATATTTCTCAAAATACTGCACTAAAAATAGTGTCCAAATTCCGCTTTATTGACATCGCAACACGACAGCCGCTGTCGCTTAACGGCAAAAGAAAGCGAGACCAATCAAAACTGTTTTATTTGGAACAAAGGCGGGACCAAACGGCGGTAACCTAGCGACGGAGCCGCAAATGAGTTTATGTCGTAAAAAGGTCTGAAGGCACGAAAAGCGCAAATCACTGCAGCGGCTCAACCTGATGACGTCAGAATAATGTATTACAGTAATCCCTCGCTACAACAAGGTTCCTCTTTCATGGCTTCGCTGCCTAACGTATTTTTCGTGCTTTTTTATTTTAAACAGTGAGTCGTGTGGCTCAGGGACTATAGACTAATGTCAACATTCTCCGTGGATCATCGCTGTCCAGCTTGCCAAATTTTCTCCATGACAAAACGACGGATTACTATACTGTATGCCTTAAATGGACTAAACCTGATTTAATGGGAAAACATTTTACACTAGATTAATGTATATGTTATGTAAAAGGGAATATGCTAAAATGAAATTAAAAAAAGACAACACAAACAGAAGATGTGTGAAATACTTCCCATATTACATTCCACAGACAGAACATAAGACTGGGAAACAATTTACAAGATTAACATATTAAAATTAACATTTTGAAATGGCGGGAGAGGGGGGGGGACTGTCAATGGTTGTGCAAATGATGCAAACTGCTCTGGTGACGTTTTAATCAAGTCATGAAGGACCATCAATTTGTAGATTCTGCATCAAAATGGTTGACAGGGTCTTTTTTTGCTGTCACTTGGAGAAGGGCTTCACAATCTTCATGGAAATATAGTTCTGTGGAGATAAATGTGAAAATTGTTAACCCTTGCATAATGAACAATTTCCATGTAATTTTGACGCACGCAAAGAGTATTCGCATAGTTGTCAGTGTCAAATTATGAACACGTGCCATAAACATTTGGGATAAATACGTCAAATGAGCAAACTTACAGGAAAAGAATAGAAAAGGATCCCGAGGAACAGTAAGACTAGCAGCAGTAGGATCCCAATGATGAAAAGCAATCTGAATCTTCGCCATATGATGAACTTCATGGTCTTGAAAGGGTTTGTAAACCAGAAGAACGAGGTGTCAGGACGGCTGACGGAGAGAAATTGGAAGACGATTATTACCCATGGTCAAGAAAATGTGAAGATAACTCATATTCCAAAGGATACTCACTTCGGTGGCTCCAGTCGGGGATTCATGTTGGGCTCTTCTCTGCCTTTCCCTGCTGGTCTCTCCTCCATCTCCTTCTCCTCCACAATTTCCAACGTCATTTCGACTTTCCCCTATAAAGCACACCAATTTGACAAATTATGGAAAATGTATGTTTTAATTGCTTGTAATACCAATTCTGTGTTGTTCTATTCACTGTACTTCTTTGGGGGAACCCATTTTCTGTTCTTCAGGGAAAAACTGGCCTATCCACTATTTTTGTGCTCTTTTTGTAACATCCTAAAATGCCACAAGATGACGCTAAAGCCTTTGTCTCATATAAAAGCAGTCCTTTGGCGCCATCTTTTGGCAGCTTAGTGCCAAGGAATTGGTACATTCTTTGTCCTCATAAGCAGTATAACTTCGATGTAATAGTCAGTGTGTGTGTGTGCGTGTGTGCGTGTGCGTGTGTGCGTGTGTGTGTGTATGGTTAGCACGTCCGCCTCACAATGCGGAGGTGCAGGGTTCGATTACGGCTCCGACTTTCCTCTATGGAGTTTGCATGCTATCCCCGTGCCTGTGTGGTTTTTCTCTGGGTACTCCGGTTTCCTCCCACATTCCAAAAACATGCACAGGAGGTTAATGGAACAATCTAAATTGTCCCGATGTGTGACTGTGAGCGCAAATGGTTGTTCGTGTATGTCTGCACTTTTTGGCTAGCAACCAGTTCAGGGTGTACCCTGCCTACTGCCTGAAGACAGGTGGGATAGGCTGAGGATAAACGGATTAGATTAGTAAATGGATGGATGGATGGATGCATATTATAGCTCCTTTAAATAAGACATCAACAAAAGTAGGCAATTAGAAATGTGGGATCAAACATACGGCAAGGACTTTCTTCCCGTTCTGCTCAATGGCGCACGGCCACCAGCCTCGAACCGACTTTTGGGAGAAGAGTGAGTTGAAGACGAACTTCTTGGATGTGCTGGAGCCGATCATTCCGGGCAACATTTTCAAGCTGCACTTTTCGGGGGTCTTTGCAGGGGCGATCAGATTGAGCAAGTCCAGCTCGATTGAGCCTGTGGACAAACATTACAGTAATTGTCGGTATATACTTTCACAGCATACATTTCATGGGTCTTACCCAAGTAGTCATCCAAGGAGAATTTGTCATTGTCCCATATCTGTATGATCAACTTGGGAGGAATCCTAAACTCGGTTTTGTCCAGATTCCAGAAATGTTCCTAGCAAAGTACAAGAAGCGTAATTGGGTTTTTGGCCTCCACGCAATGTCCACGTCCATTCCCACGGTACGCTCTCACTCACTTTTCTCGAGATGACGCACAGCTGCTCTGCGGGCAGGTAGTCGAAGGCAAAGACAAACCTCCAGTTGAAATTGCCATCGCCGTCCAGCGATCTGTAATGAACGTCGGTCTTCTGTTTGTCCTCCTCCATTCCTGCCATCCATCTACGATATCGTAGAAGAAATGAGCAAAACACACACCAGCATGCAAGCATCCAAGAGAAAAAGCACGAGGAGAACATGCAAACACCACACAGGAATCACACAGAATCGAACCTGTGACCTGTGTGTGTGTGTGTGTGTGTGTGTGTGTGTGTGTGTGTGTGTGTGTGTGTGTGTGTGTGTGTGTGTGCGTGCGTGCGCGCACGCACGTGTGTGTATAAATAAAAAAATAAAATACCCTTTCACATAGATATCACTCATGCTTTCCCCGGTGATGCTTGTTTCGTCCAGAGTGACATCAGTTGTGTTCCAAACAATGGCACGCAAGAAGTACCTGTTTGAAAGATCAAAAACAACATTCAACAATATTCAATTAATCCATTCAACACTAAACCTCCAAAGTTTCATACTTCTTGGCTTTCCGTGGAGTGATGTCACATGGAGGCCCCGGCAGACCGAGGCTCTTGGGAAAGACGTCCACCCACATTTGAATCCGTCCCTGTATTTGTGGGGAAAAGACATTTCCATTTCCTGTGAAAACTCCAAAGCACAGCAGACCACTATTGGGGGATACACTGTTGACTTAAGTAATTTCCTAACATTTTCCATAGGAAATAAAATAAAAATAATTCATTCTTGTGCTCAGTCCAAACTTGCTTAAGATGTTCAAGCTGAAGTTTCATGAGATTTGCATAACGGCTTTAATGTGTGTTTGACTCTGGTGATTGTACTGTATTCGGTAGTCAACGTCGCACGACTAAGTGTGAACATTCAGCAAAGCTTCTCGACCTGGGACAAGTTGGGTTGGTGGGAACTGCACAGGGTCCTGGTCTCCACGTGCTCGGGTACCAAGCCCTGCTCTCTGAGGACATGCAGTGGCAGTCTCTCTCTAGCCGGGCCAAGGTTGGGGTGTGTGGTCGTGGTTTCCTCTGCAAAAGGGGGACACAGAATACCACAGTGAACATGCATTCATGGACAAGCTAGTTTGCTCATGATAAATCTAACTGTAAACATACCAAAATCCTGCAGTCTGTATTCTTTTCCTGAGAAAGACAGAGCGCTTCCGTCTCCCTCAAAGCGTGGTGGAGGAACGCCCCTAATCTTGGCCACGTTTTGGAGGATCTGAGAAGGTTTCAGCTGGTCTCTCCACTGATTCACCCCAGAGCTGGAAGGAAATAATAAAACAGAACAATTATGATTTTTTTTTCTCTTTTTGTTACTGCATTCAATAAATGACTGAATAAGTACATGGCTCTCCTTTCCCACGTGCAAAGGCATTACAGTTCGTAAGTATACAGTAAAAAATACTGCAATAAAGCAGGGGACACCATATGCGACATGCATGTAGATATTTGTCGCCACTTTCCACATAAGATACGGTACTCACATGCAGTAAGTCTGTGGCAGGCCACAGCAGGACCTGAAGCGGGACAGCAGACGGTTCTCCAAATCGATGATGGTCTCGCCGACTTTTTCATCCCGGCTCAGCAAGTCGTAGTCGTACACTGCGATCTTCAGATCCTTGTCTTGCGGCAAGTAGCAGGACAGCTCGAACATCCTCAACAAAGTAAGAAAAGTTCATACGGTACGGCGGCCCCTCCTAGCGCCAAAAATAGTTGTGAGAGCAAAATATATGCACACTCACCTTCCAATTTCTGGATTGAGAGTATTTGGTTGGTAGTTATCCCGGTCATCCACGGTCTTCCTCCCCAGTGAAATCTTGACATATGGATCACACTGAAAGAAAACAACGTTAGCTGTGTCTTCAGTATTATAATGTCTTCCATCTTCAACATACCATCCCGTTGGTGTCCTTGGGCTGCAGGTCAATACAGCGCACCACGTAGATTCTGACCAGACACTCCTGAGGCTCGCTTTCGGGAAGCTCTCGGAATTGTCGGGGGGGAGCTTGCATCCCAGGGTCATCAGGCAGCGGGTAGATCTTGAACGAGCCCTGTGCGTCGTCAAAGATGAAAACACGGATGAAGGATTTACAGCCTTAAAAAAGGCGAAATTCATTGCTTGACTAAGCTTGCAATTAATTTGTTTGTACGTACAACGCAGGCTTCCTTACCTTGAATTCTCCCACAACGGAGGGATCGTCTTCCTCTCCATCTGTCTTGCCTCGCGAGAGTTTGAAAGTACTGCAGAAATCGGTGAGTCCCTGAAACTGTTCCACTTGCTCCAGTTCACAGTCGTACACCTGTTGACGCAATAATGCATTTAGGTCCAGAAGTATTTGGACAGTGAAAGCATTTGTCCGATCCAGCCACAACACAGATTTTGAAATGAAAATCATGAAAAGGCAAATTCACCTATTTGCAAGTAAATGAAAGGAAATCTTAATCTCATTTCATTATCATTTGATTACAACAAAATCCTTCCTGTTCATCTTTGTTTTGGACATACTGGAAGTCCAAAGTCAAAACGACAAGCTCACTGGCTGTAGAATACTCACTACATAGAGTACTAGAGATTTAATAATGTCTTTGTTTCCATAAAGTCTGAAGACGATCACGTCCTCACCTGTAATGTGTCGTATCCCTTCTTCAGGTAGGGGCCACACTTCTCCTGTTGCCCAATCGAGGCGTAGAATTTACTCCACCAGTCAATTGCTTCCGCTTCCTGCACAGTTGAGAAGAATTATGATATTTGTGGAGCCAGGACACGCGGAAAAAAAAAAACAGTGATACTTTGGCTGATAAGCGTAACTCCTTCCGTGACCAAGATCATTTTAGGTTTATACCAAATCAATTTTACCAACTGAAATGACTTGAAATGTCATTAATTCGTTCCAGGTTCCCAAAATAAGCAATTATAAATCACCAATACTCTAAACTCTCCTAATTAAGAGCAGTCGAAAGTCAAGGTACCACTGTATCTTTTAAAAAAAAGACAGAAACAGACTCACCTTGTCAGTTTGAACCTGTAATTTAAGATTCAACGAAAAGGTTAATAAATCATCATCTGCACGAGTGTGTGAGTGCCTTGCGATTCACCTCAGCTTCGATAGTCGGCCTCTCCTCGATGTCTATGACGACATCGCCCTGAGCAGCTGCTATCATTGCCACTGAAATGTGAATAGGATGTGAAAAATAGCGACTAACGTGGTACATAGTGACGTTTGTATGCATGCGAGTCTGCCTACCTCTGGCAGACATGCAGATTTGACTGTTAACTCGGTAGGGGTCACAGCGGAAGTCCTCCAAGCAGTCGATGGTGCACTGGCCCACCACCGGCTTCCTCCCGAAGGGTCTGTGGTCGATGACCTTCAGGACAATGGGAGGAGTGTACATCTCTTCTTTGGGGAGAAGCTGGAAAACAACACGTGATATGAAGGGAAAATATTGTGAAAAATGTGCTTCTTAATGGCGTCTGTGGCGTCTCAGAAAGCGTGTCCAGCGGAATGTTCAAACGCTGCCCCACTTCGAGAGTCAATTTTTTTTTCCCTTTATAACTCTCACGCTGTGCATAATGTGAAAATGTGTCGGCGGAAAAAAATTATGTTATGTGTGCTACTTTCTGTGTCCATAAGGTACCTCCGACGATTTACTACTGTAATGTACTTCCACCGGAGCGACTTTGGTAAATTGAACCAGAAGTTCAATGGATTACATTTTTTAAAAATACATAATTTAGTTTATACCATGACGATCAAATAAGTAACACATACAAGTGTAAAAATAATTTCAAAATTGTTTTTGATTTGAGTGGTAAGTAGAATATGAAACAATGGAATATCACAACATTAAAAAAACAACACGGATGTGTTAGCATTAAGCTAGCGATGCAATTTTAGTACACTTCCAGGGGCGCGTACCACTTTGAGTAGCAGCACAGATCCAGGGAAGTTGGGATTCTTCTTGAAATTCTTGATGATGGCCGTTTGAACGATCTCCCCACCGCATTCCACGATCAAGTTGGGAGAAGCGACCGTGGCCAGCTGGTAGCTTTTCATGTTCCTCAACCCCCAGGTCAACACCTGGCAAGAACAAAACGAAACAAACCCAAAAAAAAAAAACCACATTCTTTGTCGTTCAGCAGTGTAACAGTCGGAATGAAAAGCGTTACCTCGATGGCAGTTAGTTGCACAACAGGCCTGATTCCTTGAGGAACCATGTAGAGCTTCTCCCCTCGCCGAGGAGGAGCCAAAGGAAGATCTCCCTCGTTTGCCTGCAAGGTACGAGCAAAACATTAAATCTTACATGTTTTATTTCTCATTCCGTTTAGCGCGCAATGCTTGGCAAGTCAATGTTATTTGTCATTGTCCATTGTTTACCTTGTCCTTCAGTAGAAGCTCAGCCGCCAGCAGTGCTTCTCCAGCACTGCGGCCTTTTTTGGTAACTGGGTACCACTGCAGTTTATTGCCAGAATCGACAGCGAGGTTGAGTTTGACTACTGGGGCGAACGTACAGCGACCCAAGGGCTCATCTTTTCCCTGGATGAGAGAAAACGCTTAAACAAGTCTAATCATGGGTCATGGTTTATTCGTTTTCTTCAAAACTCACCACTTTGTCGCTGTCGTAAAGCTCCAGCACGACATCTGGTGGGTTGTGGGCAATGGTTTGTGGGTCCCCGTAGATTTCAACGTCATCAAAGATGAGACTCTGATCCCACGTGGGGTTCAACGTGGCACCGATGACTTCTGTGGTCTTGCTCAGGTGAAGGAATGACACGTGGGCGTATGGATCTGGACAAGGCAGAGTCAATAGGCAAAGCTTCATGAGGCAACTGAGGATCTGCTTAAGTCCGCGTGACCACTAGGGGGGCCCCAAGAGCAATCAACGGTCAACCAAAGAGAGTATTGAGGAAGAACATAATTACAAAAAAGTTAAACATTCAGATTAGGGTGGTTTATTTATTACTGATTTTATTTGATGTTCTTGCACATCCCTTTTGAGTCGTACAACAAATTATTCTTGTGTTGCACTTTTCACCTGAGAAGCTGTCCTTGTCCATGGCACAAAGATTCCTCGCCTGGTACACGTACACTCGCAGCTGGTAAACACAAGAGCCTGAAGGGAGCATTTTCAAATGATTCACCGTAGAGAATAATAGAACATAACTAAACAATGTGACTGTGGATAATGCTTGTGTTATCTTACAACGGGGCTAGTCAGGAAGCCGGACATAAAAAGCAAAAAAGGGCTTTTAATCAGTCATGCGCTTTATCTGACTCTGACAACTCACGGCTAAAGTGGCAGGAAATGGTGGGAGTGTTGGCACCAAATAGTTTGGCGGCATCCGTTTTACTGGCCTTCTCGTCCACGTCAACTCCCTGTCAACAAAAAAATTTAGGGCAGAGATGTGTGTCAAGGACCTTTTGTATGTCAATACTGCATATATTAAGTCAAACTGGAAAAAAATACTTAAACTTAACAGGAAGAGCCACATGCAAGTGAATCACCAACAGAATGATTATGACTCATGTTGTCATGGCTACGGCCACATGGAAAAAAAATATTGTTCTAGTATACAACATTTATTAATCACTTGAGATCCACTTGTAATGTTTTCTAAAAAGATCCACAAAATCTGTGTCAAAATCATTCGTGATCAACTAATTCAAATGTTTAATATTAATATCTAATCTTACGAAGTGTCCAATGACTCGACTCACCAGTGCGCCTTCCAGCCGAAAGATGGCAGAAGCCCCAATGCGGTCCGACGGGACCATCTTCCTTCGCCAGCGCCGGCGTCGGAACGTGTCGGACGAGCGCTCCTTGCGGTGAAATTTCCAGCCGATGAGGGAGGAATATTCCCAGCCTTCCCCGGTCTCTCGCCTCTGAAGAAGTGAAAAAGTCAAGAATGACCATTTGAGTGCCATTTTTCTAATTCGGTAGTCAACTGCTGCTTACATCGGCGACAATTTTATCAGATGTCTTCCGTCTGGGTCTGACGAGCCTCTTCCTACGATGGATGTGGTACATTTTTTCCGCTGCCACCCAGGTTTTGGGTTTGTCATCAGGTGGAATGGTCACGCCGTACTCCCAGCCTTGAGTTAAAAAAAAAAAAAAACACGTTAACACATTTTTAACTGTGGATCACCCCCCCCCACGTTATATAATACCTTTTTCATCTACAGCTCTGTTGCTGTCAAAACTCCAGTCGTCCTCCCAAGTCCATCCAATGGGACACTCAAACTCTGAGGGGCTCTGAGCCTTTTCACCATTCTATAGAGCAAACAGACACAGATTCACTCAATTGTCTCATAATCGCTCAATAATAATAAACTGTAGACTCACTTGATTTAAACCTGAATGTGCAGTGGATATTAAGTTGGCTCGTTCTTTATCTTTTGTGTATTTTGACCAAAGAATGTAGGAGACAAACACAGAAATAGAAAATGTGAGCACTCGTGAGGAGATGCTGTTGGCCACAATTCACTCCCTGATGCTCACATTGAAGTACCATATTTTCCACACGAAAAGGCGCACTGGATTATGAGGCACACCTTCGATGAATGGCCTATTTTGTAATTTTGTTCACAGATTGGGTGCACCGCTTTATAAGACGCAATCTACAATGCCTCCACTAGATAGAGCTACGCTCAAGGAAATACCAACAGAACAATCAGATGTCAGTAAAACTTAAAGCAGCGACACAGTTCACTTAACCAACAGCAAATTATGACATTGACGGTGAACTCCCTTGCTGCTGCTCTATTTACGTGTACAACTCCGTAAACGATCACCTTAAGTTTGAACTCTGCGTTGTCAGCACGTCTCAAGCAAGGAGCCATTTTGGAGTCGAAATATTCCCGTAATGACCATACATACACAAGGCGCATCGGATTTTAAGGCGCACTGTGAGCTTTTAAGAAAATGCTAAGTGCGGAAAATACGGTAACCAACCTGACCAACTCAAGCTCCGCTGTCCCTGAAAGGGTTAAAGTATGTTTTCTGTCAAAGAAAGTGAGTCCGCTGAATTTACAGAATACATGCACGGATTTATAGTTATTAGGAGGCACATTTACTCTGCATCTTTCCTTGTGGGTCACATTGTGCCCGAATCCCTCATTCTCAGCTGTGTGACACATCATGAGTTAATATGACCTTTAAAAACAGCAGCCTCCAGCATCAAGGCTTATGAGAGAAGGGGGAAGTAAAACAAAACAGAGAACTGAATGGTTTTTGAACGTTCGCAAACATCTGAGGCCAGCGACAGTCGTGTGAAAAAGTCTCAGTGGGTTTGGCTGCATGAGCGACGACATAATAGCGCAGAGTAAACTGATAAAAATGGGAATTTTGGGAATGAGACAAGGCTTTTGTCCCGTAATCTTCACCTGCATTATTCGCATAGTGTTGATACAGGTTGTGTATGTGTGTGTGTGCGCGCGCGTGTGTGTGCGCAGTGGAGGGTACTGTATACCACATCGGTGTAGGGCTCCGCAGCAGGTTTCCACTCCCCACCGGGGAAACGTGTTTCGTTCTGAAAAACCTCGTCCGTGAACTCTGTGTGGCCCGCGTCGGCTTCTGTCAACAGGCTGTAAAAAGCAGCAGAGGCACACACGTTGACGGGATGCTATGATAAACTATTTACACGAGCCCCGGTGCGAGAGTGTACGCACTAAGGGTGGGAACGAGAGCTCCTCATCCTAAAACGTTGCTGGAAATTGAAATGTCTATTTTTTTCCATTTCCTGCGATTGTATTTGCTGTTGGTTACGGTGGCTGGAACGTGCAATGAATTATGATATCTGACAATTAACAGAGGAAAGAGTTGAAAGGTGTGGATATTGTGTCGTGTGACATAACAAAAACCCGGGATGGCCAAGTGGTTAGGAATGTGGCCTGTGACCTAAAAGGTCCACGGTTCAGTCGAGACATGATAACCAACTGCACAACCTAATGAGGTCCCATCCAAGAGCTGCATCACAGATTCTGTCTTTAAAAAAAAAATAAAGTTCGATTTGATAAGTGTATTAGTATGATTATTTTTCTGTTTTGTGCTTGTATCTGAACATAGACAAAATTGGTAGCGAATACTATTCGTATTGTTGTACATGTGCCTTTTAGAGGCAGTGCCTGGTTCAGCGGTGCGTCATCGAGACTGCGTGTGAGTGTCTGGCTGTGAGCTGTGGACAGCAGCAGGTCCCTTTATGTTAATTTCTGTAAGGCTATCTGTGGCGTTTTGCACTATATGTTGCCGTTAAGCTAGTGGGCATAAATTTAGTTGAACATTTTGGTATTTAAATACACACTGTTTCATTCTTTTTTTTTTTAATCTGTTAGTTTCTCAGTAAACGTCAACTGGGAGTGATAAATAGCTTGATGAAGCAAGCACACTTATTTGGTGACAGCCTTAAAAAAAAAATGTCAGAGGGGGGAAAACCATAAACTGCCACATATCATTGGAACATTGTATCATGATTTTTAAAAAAATCGAGATGTACCAGCGCTCAGGGTCGACGAACCAGTCGTCCTCCCACTCCCAGCCGCGTGGTGGCAGGAAGCGCTCTTTTTTGAGTTTCACTTTTCCAGTCACGTCCGAAGACTTGTGGCGACCCACCAGACCATTGGGTCCCCACTTCCCAAACAACTGGGCCTGGTTTTCATACTATGGAGAGAGGATGGATGTATAAACTGGAAAATAAAAGTTAGTGATCGGGCACGGGTGGTCCAAGCTGTTTCTACCAAGGCCAATAAATGGGCAATAATTAACAACCTAAAATCAAAACATGATTGACGTTAAATAAGTCATTCTAAGTGGCATAGAAATACATGGATTGATGTATATTTATAAATTTTTTAAAAAAAAGCTTGGCGATAAAGCAAAAAGTGTAGAAAATTTTCATTACTGAGCAGAAGCCAAAGTTACCATTTCTGCATATACACTGAAGTTTCCCTCAGAGAAGATGTTGAACTTCTTCTCCCATGCGGAGAGACCAAGCCACATGTTGACGCGCAGCTGAACAGGAATCTTGACGCCTTTATTTTTATCCATGGGGTACTGAAAACCATCCAAAAGGGGAGAAAAAAATGAAGCTACGAAACACGTGGCAGCGCGATGGTGACTTTTCAAGGTACCTGCATGAAAATAGTCTGCGTGCGTCCGCAGTGTTTTCCACAGGCCTGCTCGCTGAAGTTGGAGTAGAGAATGCGGTGAGCCGGGATGCGGGCGAAAGCAACGCGCTTCTCGCCCCTCAACATCCAGATGATCACATCGGGCATGCTATTCTGAGGCTGGTGTAAGATTGTCACAAACATTTTTGGAAATGAGAGAAGAGAAATATGCTCATTGACATTGAGTTTTAGTCAGACACCATCTGGCCAAATGTGGAATATTAAGCAAGTGGCTCTTTGATGGATGAATTTGTATGGCTCATGTGAACACATGTGAACAGGTGTTTATTTATCCGATATTTAATGTCTTTTCGTTTTATGCATCAGTTTGACAGGAAATTTCAAGCTACAAATAGCTGTAGAGAGAGAATAAAAACAGGTGCTCAGCAAAACATAAGACAGTTAAGGACCTCTTATCTGACCTCATCTGCCAGCTGTTTGATTCTGTCCAGCCAGTCTTCAATGTCACTGACAGTTGCCTTGCTATCCGTTGCCTCCTCTCTCAGGCAATTTGCCATCTGTTGGAGGCTCTTCAGTGCTGCGTCACGCATGTTTTTTATTTGGAGATCCAGCACGGTCACATGGGGTTGGCCTTCCACCTCTGGAAGCTGGAGACTGTGCCCAAAAATGTGTTCCTGCTTTCAAAAATTGCAAATTATGCATACCAGATAATCTGAAACACGTCAACCATTACCTGTTCAAGTCCTCAAGCAAGAGACTGATGAGTTGAAGCCAAATTTCAACCACTCGGTCCTCAGACGCCTTGAACTGGATGGCCATTTTCAAAGAGGACAAGTTGTGTTCCTACGTTGAAATGACAAAAGCAGCGTTGATGAGCGAGCGACGTTTGCACCGACGTGTTGTTCCAACGTGCCATTGTGCCTTAATCTTACGAGTCGTTCTGCAATAGAGAGAAGAATGTTGACGGCGTCCAAACGGTGGCTGATGTCTTCCCAGGAGGAAGTGAGCGTTACCACGGGCTTCGTTTCCGCCCAGGGCAGGTAGTAATAGTGGTTGCCTGTGGACAGACAAAATACATACTGGTACTGTAATTGAAGCAATGACGAGAGATTCTCCGGAGAATTTATAAAAGTGAGATAAAGACATATATCGCATATTAGAACAGAAGTCTCAGCATGGTTACGAGTGGCCGTTTAAAAAGCCAGGAAGGCTTTTTCTGCGGGCCACACTTTCAGAAGCACTGCTTTCCATTTGCTGCAAATTCAAATGTGAAATTGCATAAATTCATTCCTAGCACTCAATTCTCTTAATATCATAAAATTTCTCTCGGCTGCAGTGCTTCCAATTGTGTAGTTGTGCATATAAAATCTCGACACACCTCTATCTTTAATATAAAAAAATTCAAAACATGCTTCCATATTTTTTTGTGACCTATAACATTTTCAATTAAAAAAAATAAGAGATAAGGTGGTGGCACACGTCTGCACAGTGGGCAGTGGCCTAAAGGTTTTGTGTTGTAGCTGTGCTGTGACGACAAAAATATCAGGAAAAGGCGACTAGAACATCTGATATTTACCTTGGGTTAATCAGAGACTTTAAATCAAGGCAGATGTCCGCTAACTCCTTTGTAACAAGAGTTTGTAACATAATTTGATTAAACACACATGCCACATGCCCCGTTATAAGAGGGTGTGTAAACGTGTGATCTCAGTTGTTTTATTTCTATTTCAGCTATCGAAAAAAAAATGTTTTCGTTCATAGTGGAGGTTGTCTCTATTGAAGGGCCAGGTACCAAATACACGTCTGCAATAACGCTGACGTTCGTACCGTCAAATACAGCAAAGCTGTACTGGGTGGTGGACGCCAAAGGCTTGCAGGTGGAGTCCAGCTTGTTGCCGTAGTTTCCCATGCTGACCTCGAACTGGATGGGCTCTCCCGGTTCTTGGAGCATGCAGGCACTGTGGAACACAGCACAGAGCGAGAACTTCCTCCTCCGCTGGTATTTCTGCACGCAAGAGCAAAGGATGTGGCGTGGTTAGAGGTTACAATGGCCGTATGTACTGTCGCTTTGGAACTAAGCAGTTGTTATTTTTTCAGTGTAATAATGTAATCTATTAGACAAGGACATGGCCTGATTGAATGAAGCTCCTCCTATTACTTCAACTTAGTTCCTTCGCACCTGGATGGTGTCAAAGCAATATTTTTATTTTAGACAGGGCTTTGGCATGAGCACAACAGCAAATAACTTTTGAGTTTTTTTAGTAAACGGAGGAGAGGATTAAAAAAAATGTAAACCGCAGGATTCACAAATAGCAAATATGCAGGGGAAGAATGTTTCCGATCTTGACCCAGCCTAGCTACCAAGTCATGGGCGAAGAAACGCGGATTGATGCAGTATCATGTCAATTAGGCCACCTGTTGTTATACAAGTATTCAAGAAATTAAAGTGAAAGGATATTGAATTTGTTGTAATTAAGTATGTCACAAGTGTAATCTGGAAAAAAAAAATCACATTGCGACATGGAAAAACAAAACGACAGATCTTGAAGACTTGCACATAGGGAAGGGAATGGGGAAAGTGAGAGCATATGCAAAATTCAATTCTCCAGAGGACATTTCCATTACTAGAGTTATCTTATTGAATCATCCTACCTGTGCCACCAGGATGTCATCACTGGATATATCGTCGATGTTCTTATCCACCTTTCCATCAAGAAGAGTGGACAGCTCGACAAGGACCCTCCCCCTGTAGGCGACACCTTCACCCTGCAAGTGCAATCAAGTTCGATGGAGACTTTCAAATGAGAGATCATCAAAATATTCCACGCGGAGATGGATTTTTTTTTTTTTTTTTTTTTACCTTGCCAAGGTTAAGTTCCTCATACGGGTCAGGGAGTCCAGTAAACTCCCTTGGGCTGCCATACAAGTTGACATAACAAGGCCCAAAAATTGGCAGGAAACCAGACTCGCTTGTTGCAGGGCTCGCTACAATGAGCACACGCACAAACACGCGCACACGCATACACGATGACTGAGACATCTTTGAGCCAGGAAGCCAAGGTCTTAAAACGGGTCCTTTCTTACGTACAATCAGACAGGCTGTTGCAATGTTCAACTTGTTCGTCTGTTTGAAAATGAAACAAGAATTTTAACAACCCTTATAAATGTTCATTGATTTTGTTTTTTTTCTACTGTTATTCCTGTTTCATAATGTTATTGCCACCACCAAGACGTCAGACGGGTGTGTTTTAACAAGTGTGTTTTAACTAAAACTACTTGACCGGTTTCCATGAAATTTGGTGGAGAAGTCAGACATCGAACTCTTGTTTAACAAAAACAGAACAAAACATATTTGGTCTTGGCCTGGTTGTTTGGACTGAGTAAAATGAAAAATTTTCAGAAATCGGTCAAGCAACTTTTGGGTCACCGTGACATGCATACACACACAATGACGAAGAGGTTTTTAAAAGAAAGCCAAAATCTTTTTCAAACTGGTGCCCACAACTTCTTACGTATGTTCAGACAAGCTGTTGCAAACTTCACCTTGTGTGTCTGTTTAAAAATGAAACAAGACATATCACAATTATAAAATGTAAATGCTGTTAAATGTTGTATTATTATTACGAGTAGTAGTAGATTATATTTTATAGTCTTTGCTTCTGTAGTATATAAAATTGCATCACATTGGTAGTGATGTATCATAGTGTTTTCCACATAAAATAACATTGATCTATAAATATAGGTATGTATGAATTTATTGCAGTGCTTCTTAATTATTTTCTTTTACAGCGCCCCAAGAAAGAAGAAAACATTTCACCCGCTCTCAATTCTCTGCCTCGTCTATCGATGAAATTGTTCTAAGTGCACGTTCAATAAGAATGCGTAACTATTCTAATTATTATAATAATCAGTACAATACGTTGCACTATAGTCTCACTCCTTTTCAAATATGTATGATTATGCTTTTTGTCTGTTTGTGACTTCTTTTATTTTACATTATCTTATTTATATAGTTTTTATTCTATTTTTTGTTTGTTTTTACTTTTGCTATAACCAGAGAAAAACTCATTTGCATCTTTTTTTATGCTCGCTGTTGATGACAACACTTAGCCTTACCTTCAAGCTCTCCGCCAGCGGAAGAGATCTTGCTGAGGTTCAAGTATGTTGTTCCGATCGCGTCGTCCTTGCTGACTCGATCCCTGCCAAGAGCACGTTGTCACGTCAAACAACAGCTGCCGTGTTACAGGGTGGGAAAATTGCTCACTTCTTACCAGTCAAACATGGTCAACTTGATGCGTTCACACATCGACGGGAACTGCAGAGGACAATGGAGGTGATTCAAGACTTATAATATCAACTGCGACATGGCGCAACATTTTTTTACCTTAACTTGGAGGTGGATGGTCTGATTCCATTCGGGATTCGCATTTTTCTCAACGATTCTGGTACACAGCTAAAAATGACAAAAATGAAAACTATTTTCTTACCCAAACGAGGGAACAAAACATTTGACTTTGACTTGATTACCTTTTTTCCAGCAAAGCTGACCTCCAAATACGGATCCACCAAGTTCTTTCTGTCTCCATCCCCGCCAAAGACCTGCTTGACCGTCTGAACAAATGCGTCATCCACTATGAAGTGAGAAAAAAAAAAAAGTTGTACAGTATAGATAGGGATTTACCAACAGCACGCTGCACAGTATTGAACATAGTTGTTTCGGTACTTTGTGGCATGTCCTCTGCACGGAACACTTTGAGGCTGAGCGTGGCCCATCGCATCGTAACTCCTGCCGGCACCAGAAGATTACTTTCGATGTCGTCCTGATCCTTGCTCAGCTCTCTCTTGTCAGTCTGCACGGCAGGACAAATTTCAGTGCAGTTATTAAGAATGTACCGCTACAATAATCTCTTAATATACGTTTAATGAGATCTAATGCACGAGTTGACACAAAGAACATTCTGACCCTTCCAAATACACTACCGTATTTTCCGCACTAAAAGGCGCACCTAAAAGCCTTCCATTTTCACAGTGCACATTAAAATCCGATGAGCCTTGTGTATGGTCATTACGGTAATATGTCGACCCCAAAATGGCTCCTTGCTTGAGACATGCTGACAACACAGAGTTCAAACTTAAGGCGATCGGTTACGCAGTTGAACACGGAAATAGAGCAGCGGCAAGAGAGTTCAACGTTTACGAGTCACTGTTATAATTTGATGTTGGTTAAGTGAACTGTGTCGCTGCTTTATTAAATACGTTTTACTGACATCTCATCATTCTGTTGGTATGTCCTTGAGCGTAGCTCCATCTAGTGGATGCACTGTAGATTGCATCTTATAATGCGGTGCGCCCTATGTATGAAAAAAATTACAAAATAGGTCATTCATTGAAGGTGCGCCTCATATCCAGTGCGCCTTTTAGTGTGGAAAATATGGTAATTAAGGTCACCAAACTATATCCTATATCTGCCACGCTTGCAAGTGTTCCCAATCTGGTGACCGATCCAAAAGCAACATAAAAGCCCATTATATACTGTACTCCCGTCACTGTGTTCGGAGGATGTACACGCACCGGCGGCTCTTCCCCAGTCACCACCACAATAATGCTGACTTTCAGGTAACCTTTGGCCCCGGAGCTGGAGTCGTCGGGGTCACTCAACAGCAGCCATTTCCTCAGTATGGCATGACCTGAGAACAGTATACGCATTACAAACTGTTCACACACAGGAAGAAAAAAAAAAACATTTTATGGGGAAGGTCTCACCTGGTTCATCGTAGACGTAGCCAACATCTAGCTGGAGAAGAAAGAGATTTAATGCCACTGGACAAATAATTGGTCAATGTGAAAAAAAGTGACAATCCCCAAAATGTAATATACTTAACACAATAAAATTAATAAATCAATAAAAAGACGACAATAAGGCCAGCCAAAGTTTCAAACTGCAATACCTTGAACTCGCCGATGAGACTGTCAGCTCGGAGGGAGAAGGAATCATAAACCTTTGAAAAAGCACAGCGTTTAGTTCAATTGAAATTAGGCTATCATTTGTCAAACATGGTCAAATTTTCAAAACCAAAAAAGTACACACCCTTAGACTGACACTTTCATCCAACAGCTCTGAAGGGAGCATGTTCACGTTGTAGAAAAATGTCTGAAGGGGAAGCAAATAGGCAAACAAAAAAAAAACATTTTAGGACTCAAAGTGGATACATCCTGGAAAATGGACTTTTTAATGGCTTGTTTACGAATTGTTGGGCCTCTGGGTTGACTGACTACTCATGCAATGTGGACAATAGTTCTCACAATGTCCTGAATGAGGTCAATATTTCAAATTTGTAATGATTTTAAATAGCAGAGAAATATTCAAAGAACAAAAACAAAAGAATATCGGTGCTGAATAACGTCTGAATATTCTTCAGCATTCACACAAGTTATAAAGGAATGGCTGTCGATGAACTCGGTACCTCATCAAAGAAAGGGTTATTGCCACTTCTTATTCGCGTCCTATGAGTCTGGCCGCAAACGTTCACCTTCACCACGGGCTTGATGTTGTTGCCAGACAGTTGTCGGCCCTCCAGGACACGAATACGAATCTGGACATGTGAAAAGAAGCATTCAGACAGATTTTTTTCTTCTTTTCTCTTTTTTATTCTTCGTTAAGTGACAGTTTCCAAGAAAATGTACAGGACTGATGTGATATCACAGGCCTTTATTGTTTACGCCTTCTGTCATTCAAGTGATTACAAATTCCCGTCTTAATTGACGCTCCAATACAATACCTGGAAATCCTGCGGCTTGTTAGCCAGGGCTCTGTGCTTCTTGCGGCCGATGCGGAGCGGCTTGTGACTCGCTTTACCGGGCTCGACTGGCGTACCCGGACCTGCTGGGCTTCCCACATGATCCCCTGCATCCAAGTCTGCATCCCCCTCGTCAGCCTCCTCGTAGGCTGCTGGGGTCCACAGTGGAATGAACACATTTCAGTCATTTACTCTCTTTACAGCCACACATTTACAGTTGCATTCAAAACAATTCATATCCTGCCCAAATTCGCTGCACAATCTAATGATGATCCAAAATAATAAAAGTGCGCTGGCGTCCTACCATCCACATGTGACACGTCACCATCAGCAGCTTCCCCAGGTGGTTCGTACCCGATGAGTAAATTAATGGTAGCCTGAAAGAAAAAAAAAAAGACGCAATTATTATATTTACAATCCTATGCAGTATGGTCAAAATCATAACTTGCCTTTGGCGTCTTCGTGTCAACCCTGTCATAATGGGGTAACTGCCCCTTTAAGAAAGCCTCTTATGCTTTCAGCAGACATTACCACTAGCATTTTGTCTTTCTTCAGTTGAAGCTGAAGAGTGGAATAAATGTTTCAACTTTTCTTATTATTATGAGCTGGATGTTGTCAAGCCCAACGTGTCTACTTGCGCACAGACATCTTGTTAACTGATTCATGTTGATAAATGAAGTTTTACTATGCGCTCATTATATGCTAGCATTAGCCCAAAAAATGTCCACCCTGTCGTAAAGGAATAACTGCGTCTTTGAGAAACCCTTTGTTTTGAGTTACATTACAACCAGCGTTTTGTCTTTCTTCAGTAGAGGATCACAGAGTCGATTGTCACAGAATAAATATTTCAAGTTGCGCTTTGTCATTTTCTTAATATTACACATGTGAGCTGGATGTTTGTCAAGCCCAACACGTCCACCCTGTCATCGTGAAATATCAATTGATTTGAAAAACTTTCAGATATTTCTAAAGATATTCGTACACAAATCTCTTGCTAACTGAATCATGTTGCCAAGTGACGGTCTCCTTCGCGCTGATTAAATGCTAACATTCGCCAAAAATGTCCATCCTGTGAGCAAAAAGAAAAAGAAAAAAAAAAAAGACTGTGGGGTTCTTTTTACCCCAATTGGCTGCTGCTTGTCATTGCTCAGGGGCACATTCTTGGACGGGAGTGATGTCAAGTGGCCACCGGCCAAGTCCCTCAGTGAGATTTTCGCAGAGCCTATGAACCTGAAAAGCAAATGAGAAATTCACCATGAATCTTTACAGTTAATCATTTGTTTTAAGATATAAAGGCTGTTGGCAAAGGTATAGTGTGGGAGGAAAACTGGCCACTGTGTGACTAATTGTTCATAACCGTGTGGAGGGAATGGACCACTTCCACTTCCTCATTCCCCATCTTCACCTTTGTGATGGCGCCGTGTGGTTATTAACCACAATGGATTGCAAAATGTGATTCATTTATGTTGCAGAAAATTCCCATTTTGCATCGCTACGGGCTGGCGACAAGTCCGGGGTTTCTCTCTTGCCGAGCACTACAACTGACCCTGCTATCTGCGAGGAATAAGCAATGGGCCAGCCCACGAATAGCAAAAATAAACTCATAACTAACAGCTGCAGAAATTCAGTGGGGGGTGAAATGTTTTGTTTACTTTAAACCCCTCAAATCTTCCACTATGCGTTCTACAAAATTAAAAAAAAACAAAAAAAAAAAACTGCGAAATGGGGTTGGGGGGTTTGTATTGACTTTTTGTTTTACCAATTCAACCGACAATAGGCTTGAAGACACGCACGCACGCACGCACGCACGCACACACACACACGCCCACCCGCAC